CACTTGTGGTCTAAACTGAATAAATATTTTTGATTTTTGTTTTTTTTGATTTTGAAGGCGCCGCCACCGTAACATGGTACGGACAAATGGATGACCAATGGTCTAAAATTTAGATTTTTAGACTCTAAAAATAATGATGTATTGAAAACCCTTTCTATTGTAAAAAGTTATTGTTTGATTTTACTTTGAAATCGATTATCCGGAACACCCCTGGTTTTAATTGATCCGGATAATCGGGATTCTACTAATAATATAGTATTCACCTTTCATTACCGGGCCGGTCGTTGTGGGACAAAGGCTTCCCCGATATCCATGGGGAAGCCATTGTTCAGCTCTTCTTCGTTGCCACACTCTACTCTTGGTAGAGAGGTCGTGGTCACACCTGCCGGCCTAGAATGCGCGCGTGTTAAAATATTATCGATGATTTTAGTCGACAAATATATGGGCTTATCGTCTAAAATCGATAAGATGGCGCGATAAACGCTTATCGCGGCGCGCATCCTAGGCCTAGTGGTTGGCAAGCTTATAATTCGTCGCCATTTACTTCTGTGATTTACTTATTTTGTCCAGAGGGCGGAGTGTGAGTTTTTTTTCAAACATGACATTAAATATATGACGGATTGTACAGCGGCCCCTAGCGGGAAACTTTCAAAAACTAAAATTTTCATACATTTTTTAAACGCGCTGACTAGTGAGCGCGTTTGATGTAAACTCACACTGAGACTCAGCCCACAGTAGTGGACGTCATTTGGCTGAAACGAACGAAGGATCCTTTCATCAATAGCATTGCAAACTATTGACTAACTATCCTATTGATATTGCAACTAATGTTCAAGACCATGATACTATCGATAATTTATTCTTTATTCTTGCTTGCAACGTTTCATGCGGCCCACATATTCAAATTCTACGTTTTATCTCTGACGCTCGCATGGATGGAGGTGAGGCAAATGCAGTATTCTCTTGGTAATATTTGTAGAACATAGAACAATAATTGGGGAAATTACCGTGACATTTTGTTTCTTAGTTTTTACTCGCAGATTTTTTTTCGCGAGATTCGCGGAGAATAAAGGTTTGAACCCCTGTCGCGCGCCGCTATTGTGGTGAACCACTTGAAGCATATTTATCTTACCACGAGGGGTTAACTTGATTTCTGGGGATTAAAATACTTGTTGAATTGACTAGTAGGTTTTATTATTGTTTTATCACGGATTAAGTTGCAATTTACTCAATTTTTAAACGAATATTGCTGGTAACAAGATTGCGCTTAATTATCCATCCGATTAAGGCCACAAGGGCAATGGATTAGGATGTCATTTATATCTACTATAGTCTGTTAATCTTTCGTTCTAATGTATGAGTATAATACTATTAATTTTATAACGATTCTCATTCTTATGCATGTCAATGAACGCCAGCTCATCGTCCCTGGTCTCAGGAATTTTTCTTCTGTTTCCGTCGTCTTTCTATGAATAGGTAAGTTCTTAGGACCGCACCATACCAGAAAAGTTCTCAGTGCGCAGGCCTTTCACTAGGTGGACCGACGATTTTGTGTCGCAAGAAGCACCTGTATGCGAGCCGCGCAGGACTGGTCGTTGTGGAAATCCTTGGGGGAGGTCTTTGTCTAAAACCTGGTTTCCACTAAGGCGGAGCGGAGCGGAGCGGAGAAGTTTCGTTCCGTCAAATCTTTGTATCGTCGGTTAAGTTTTATGGCGGCATCACGTTTTTGGCGGTTTTGACATTTTGATGCCATTCGTTAGAAAATCAAAAGACGCGTCGTGTTTCGTCCAATCTTCTATTACCTATATAAAAGAAAGTCGTGTTAGTTACTCCACTTATAACTCAAGAACGGCTGAACCGATTTAGCTGAAAATTGTCAGGGAGGTAGTTTAGAGCCAGGAGAAGGACATAGGATACTTTTTATCCCGTTTGAAAAAAAAAGTCTGCTTATTTATTGCCATTAAGGCGGAACAAAGTTCGTCGGGTCAGCTAGTTTCCTATAAAATTGTTAAAAATGACTTACGTAGTGATAGAACTTAAACGACACTATAAATATAGAATTTGACAGGGGCAGCGAGGCGCGGAGCAGTGCAAAGCGGAGAGAAGTGGAAATAAGTAATGAAATCTGATTGGTTATTCAAAACTCTGCTCCGCTTTGGTGGAAACCGGGCCTAAAAGCAAAGTTCGTCTTTAGCAATGGACGTAATTATTGGCTGAAATGAACGAACTTTTCATGTTGTAAGGTGTCAAAATACCTGTATTATTCACAATGAGATTAATATCAACTGAACAAACTAACTACCTAATTATTATTTGTTATAACAGATGCTTTAAATTAAATTTTTGTTACTATAAAATAGTTACATTGTAAAATAAACATGTTTTCGTCGAAATCTTAGGTATTTTCTTTAGGGTTGCCACTAGGCATAAATAGGTATAAACTAGGTACCTATTGATCATCTGCCTGATCATCACTTTCCAACAGGTGAGATGCAAGCCAAGAGCTTCCTCGTTGTAAATAAAAACAATCGCTAAGTAGAAGTCTAACTAGTCCCCAAGAGGGACGGAAGGCAGCCTTTTCTAAGCTCTACTTTGTCGACATTCCACCAGCTCGCACTAAACGTTTCGGTAACTCTTTTATAATGCGAACAGCTAGGGACTGGAATTCGCTGCCTGCTGCTGTCTCTCCCGAAGACTATAATCCGGGCCTTTTTAAGTCGAGAGTGAATAGGCACTTACAGGGCAGATATGTACCAACCTAGACTGCATCTCACTTAACACAAGATGCGATTGCGGTCAAATACCTGCCTTGTTATCAATAAAAAAAGCTAATGTTTTTTATGATACATGGACGAACGATTTACAAAGAAAACTAAGTTCCACGACCTTTTAATTTTTCAGTCAATGCAAATTTTGTCATGTCGACTTAATGTTTAGGTGTGTTTACCTACTTTCTGTTTTAGTTTCTCCCAGTATATAAACAAGTACTACGATTTTTGAAATATCAACTTTAAAAGGAAGAAAGAAGCAATGAACTCATACCTATGAAACATTTCACTCTACGAACGAAGTCTCACTATCTGGTAAGTACCAGTGTATTAATTTATTTGTTTTTCGTGATATGTTGGCCCTTTATGTAGTAATAAGTAACAATCCACTTCAGCTTGCTAATCCGTCGGGCTATGTGAGCGACTTTAGTTCGTTTACGGATCTCCTCATTTCTGATTCGATCTCTGGTGGGCAGGGCACATAGTACACAGAACTGACGGCCGGGCAGCAAGGTTCTGGAGTGGAGGCCACGTACCGGAAAATGCAGCGTAGGACGTCCACCCACAAGGTGGACTGACGACCTCATAAAGGTAGCAGGAAGGCGCTGGATGCAGGCCGCTACCAACCGGCCATTGTGGAAATCATTGGGGGAGGCCTATGATCAGCAGTGGAACGTCCTATGGCTGAAATTATGATGATGATGAAGTAACAGTTTGACTCTACCCTGCAATGTTCTACGAAACTGGGAACAACGCGGTGTGTCTGATGTCTCACCTGGGAATCAAAAGTAGAATCTCAGAATCGAGTTAGTCCAGCAACCACTGCAACTGGGCCACAGAGGCTTGTAATAAGTTATAGAAGATGCAAAGTTTATTTAGCAGAGTTCATTTAATTACGTGTGTCCTTTACGTCCAAATGTCTTTAAATTTTCACTCTCTTTAATGTAAAACGAACTGTTGTTAATTTACTATATCTTAACTAAGTAGGTATCGATTCAAATGTGTTGTAGCACTTTTTCTTTTAAAATGGGATTGGCATATAAGATGATGTTAAAATGGTAATTGAAACTTGATGAGAGATTACTGTGAAGAATATGCAAAGAAAATGTATTTAAACTATCACCATTGAAAAGAAGTCAAGGAATTTCGTAGATAGTGTTTGTTTTAACCATAGATAAATTTATCTATAAAGTAGTTAAACGAACATTGAAGGTAACTGGGACATGATAAGTACATAAAATAACATAAAGAGTCCCCTATTTCAAATGTGTACCTACCATAATTCAAATGTGGCACTCCACTCTGACTTTTTAAAATAACTTCTCATCTTAGAACAGTCAAGCAATGTTTAGTTTATTCAGAAACTAGTATAGCTTTCCGCCCGCGGCTTCGCCCGCGTGGAATTTTTTCTGTCACAGAAAATCTTTATCGCGCGCGTCCCTGTTTCAAAAACCGGGATAAAAAATCTCTATGCCAAATTTCATCAAAATCATCAGTGGTTTAGGCGTGAATGCAAGACAGACAGACAGAGTTACTTTCGCGTTTATAATATTAGTATAGATATAGATTAGTATAGATAAAGAATCTAAAAACTTTGGTTTGTCAAAGTATCATGCAATAAAATTACTTGGACTTGCCAAAAGAATTTTGTGTACCCTCAGATCATAGAATTTCTATGATCTGAGTGTGTACCTAACTCATACTTGAACTTGACAGACGTCCATCTGCAATCGATAGTCGAACAGTCAAGGTGTCGGACTGGCCGAGTCATGATCTGAGGAACGCGGGTTTGATCCCCGCCGCCGCTGGCCTATTGTGGTGACTGGTGAGCCCACTCGTAACACAAGCATAATAATATTTAGCACGAGGGGTTAACGGGATTCATCATCATCATTTAAGCCACATGACGTCCACTGCTGAACATAGGCCTCCCGCAATTATTTCCATATCGCCCGGTTGGTTATTTATTATTAACGGGATTATTATTATTAATATTCTTTGAAAACGAAACAGCAATTTCGGTAAAATTATTTTAGGGTTGGTGGTAATTTTCATAATCATAATATCTTTAGCTTCAAGTGGTATGTTTTTAGTAATTTTCAAAATGTAATGACGTAATATAAGTAACCGCAAAGAAAAACAAGGCCCTGAAAGACATTTCCTCGTCGGTATGCCTGAAGCGTTATCAGTAAGGCTTTATAAAACGGATTGCGTACGCGCAGTGTCATTCGCTATCAGTTGTTTATGTGTTAATGAACGCCAGACAATTAATACAGCGGATCGCAAAGCCACGATTTTCAAGTGTTTGTGTTGTTCGTGTTGTGATTTTTAAAAGCAGTAAGTTTTTGTCTCATTTATTTGTGCGGAAAAAAGGGCCCTTTCCCACGGCAGTCCAGTTTTGCGGGATACAGTAATGCAGGACACCGCAAAACTGGCAAAACTGTACCGGTCGTGTCTTCTTCTTCTTCTGCTTCGCCTTAGCTTATCCCGTTATGGTGTGAACACACAAGACACAAGTTTAGTGTATGTTTAAAATTCGAATTCTGAATTGGATCGGAGGGTGTAGGTTAAACGGAATCCTGCAAAATACGGGATGTATTCGAATGAGCTCTAAGATTATGGAGATGCAATACGACAGTTTCAGAAAAAGTGCATAGAAAGTTTTGGTTTAGCTAGACCGGCTTTTAACATTGTTGATAAAGTTTTAACATTTGAGTTCGATTCGTATCACGATTGCCTTGCCTATATTAAATTATACTACTCTACGAAGTTAACACTTATGACTTTAACGAATCGAAAACTATTAGGAGGTATGTTATGGTACTTTGAAACTCTTTAGATAAATTTCTTTAAAAGCTCAATTCCGGGCAGATATTTTCCCAAATAAGTACGGAAAGCTTGCTCTACCAAATTCGGGGTAGTTAGTAGAAATATTAGGATAAGGCGAGTTTAATTGTTCGAGTTGAATTAACAATTAATACTAAGTAAAACATTTATTGCAACTATTTTTCCTTTTCTAAACTGTTAAGTTACATTAAGTAGAAAATTAGTAAAATTGCTTATCGGAAAATGAAAAATGCGATTAATCATTACCATGACAAGAGCTAGAAAATATTAACTTCTAAAACATATTACCCGTACTTAATGAAGTTAATTACTTTTAATACGATTTGTTATTAGTTAAGGAAAACTAGGTATTAGGTACCTAATTAAACATAGAACCCAGCTACAAATTAAAAACGTGAAAAGTTTATTTTATCGATATAGGAGGAAGGTCCACAAGGTGGACCGACGACCTCATAAAAGAAGCAGGAATACTCTGGATGCAGGCCGCTACCAACCGGACAGTGTGGAAATCATTGGGGAAGGCTCTATGTTCCTGTGACTGAAATGACGATGCTGGGATATCGTCGCTGTCAGTTCAAAAGGATGTATGATAAACCAGTAGGTTTTCAGGAGAAACAAAAAAACTGTATAATTTTTTAAGTTTCGATTTGACATTGATTTGACATACGTCCTTTTGAACTGACAGCAACGATATTTTTTGCTCCTTCACGTAAAAATTGCTAGATGGATTTTCATCAAACTGTGCAAGAAGCCTGACGTCCCTACCCAGTTAGGGTTATCGAAATATAGACTCAGTAAAAGGCGCAGGTAGAAACTAAAGTAGTTGCTTCATTTGGTAGGCAGTATACCTACCAAATGAAGAAACCTACCTAGAAATAAAAATCTATGAGCGCTACATTGAGCGCAATTGTTTCCTGCTTAGTAACTGAAAAATTTGATAACACTTCTAAGTAAACGATTAAATAAAACTATCTGATTTTGTCAGTTTATCAGATTAGTTTCTAGAAATCTACGTGTAATGTTTTTAATTTTGCAAGTAATGTCAATGTTGTCGATTAATTTTATCAGGATAGGCAATTGGCACTGCTGAGGGACGCTTTTTGTCTGCTTTATGACAGTAAAATTATAAATTAGCTCACATACTGGGTATAAAAACTTTTCATAGTTTATTTTTTCGTTAGAAATACATATCAGCAAAACGAAATAAGGTAGGCCAAGTACTTAATTACTGAAAATACGATTAGTGTGCCAGCATTCTTAGTAAATAAGTTACTTGTTTTCTTTTTTTTTTGGGAGAATATAGCAGTAAAACATATAGGACACTATTATAGCTTATTACTATTGTGCCTTAAATAAAAAAGAAAAATAAAATACATTCTCATACAAGTTGTATTATTACAAGCCGTGAAGCCGACATTGTAGGTACATCATTGTTTCAGGCGTTAACATTTTCAAGCCAATGAAATTAAACCAAATACCTACCACTATAATTGTTAATTGCCGTCTGTTTAGCCAGGTGAACATACAACACATTCATATGCTAATCAAAATACGTAGGTTTGTATTCTCCTATTTACCTGATGTTAATGCGCCTGCGTCGTACGTCAGATGAAATGTGTTTTCCTATGAAGAAAATTCCGGTGAACCCTATGCTGTATCTTAGAGTAGGCGCACACTGGTGATTTTTAGTTGGCCGATAGTTGTGCCCGTTTTTAAATTGTATGAAGAATCGGCCAAATCGAATCGGCGTAGTGTGCGCACTCCCATACATGCCCATACTGATCAACTGCCCGAGGTGAATTCTTTTATTTAACTTTATTTCTGTAGTTCCATTATTGATTAACAAGAAATGTTCGTACCTATCTGCTTTCGCGTCGGTCCTATTGAGCCGTGTCGGTCAACTAAGTAAGACGGCTCATGTAAATTCTGACACAAGAGTGGTGACTTTGAGAACTAGGATAGTTTGTGAACTCTACCAGTGGATATCGTAAAAGGCACCTAATATGCGAACAACAGGCGTCCCCAGCTAAGCCGTCTGGCCACCGTGGGGAGTGTAGAACAACTCCTCCCTCCATTTGCCTCTGGTAGGGCCATACTCCTGCAGTGGAGACTTAATGATCCTGGCGATGAGTGTTCTTTATTAGGATCCAATCCACAAGATGCGATGTAGGAATTACTTATTATTCGTTTTCTAAACACGAGCAAGTTAATTTGTAGTTTATCTGCCGACAATTTTGAAGAAAGTAAACACGAAAATTAATAAGTAAAAGTTTGTCGTGACCAATAAAACAGATAATTATGTTTTTCTTCATTACTATCTGTCACTTTGCACAACATTTTAATACAAATGATATCGCTATCGACTGATGATCTAGCTTTGGTATCATAATCAGCGTTAATAATATTAAAGAAATAATTTTAGAAAGTTAAAATTTGCCGCTAATCAAGATTACATTTAATTTTGATAACTCAAAATTGTAAACAGATTAAAAGTAGTTATAGTTAGGGCATTAAGATAATCAGTATGATTCATACTCGTGCACGTCAACTAAATTGAGACAGAATTGCTAAAATAATTGTCTGAAAACTTTGCCCCAAGCATTTCAATGTAGGCTCCACATAAAACGGCGAATTCCCTTTAGCTTTGTTAAATACAAACTTTGGCCTTCACTAATTGGGTTGATTGAAGGCCAAACTATAGATGCAGGCTACATAGGAGTTGCAGTGGTGGGCACGAGGGCTGGAAATAGTCCCAAGTTTGGAACTTCGAACTGTAACTTCGAACCTTAATTTCGAACTCTTAAAATGTTCTTCTGATTAATTTCGTTGCGGGTCTAACTTTTTCCCGGGACAAACTTGACTTTTGCTGGTTGGGTTTTTAGTGGCGGTCTTGTAGATCCTGGGTACACAGGAGTTGCAGCGGTGGTCCCGAGTTTGGCAACTTGTCCCTTTACGAATTCTATGTTAATACTTACAGATATGTGGATCTCACTAGCCTTTGCGCTAGTATTGACGATCGGGACATCATCAGCTCAAGACGCAAACTGCGACTTTGTTTCGAATGTAAGTTCCCTTGTCTCTTACTAGTCCACTTCTATTACTGCAAAATGCTTTGGGTCAAAGTTCACCAAAGAATCTCTGATCTCGTGGAGAATGACTTGGCATATTTATGGTTCGCCAATTTATGAAATACTAAATAAATAATTCGCACGCCTTTTCTAATATGTATAGCTTACCCTAGCAAAAACCCTAACAACAGCAGTGGGGGAAGTCGAAACTTAACTTCGAACTCCTCCTATGTTCTTCTGATTAATTTCATTGCGGGTCCAATGACAGTTAACTTGCCCCCGGGACAAACTTGACCTTCACTAGATGGGTTTATTGGCGGTCAAGCTGTAGATCCTGGCTACACAGGAGTTGCTACGGTGGGAACGAGAGGTGGGAATAGTCCCGAAGATAAAACGCAGGTTCGATCCCTGCACATTTCAGTGAACGCCGCGTTTGTTTGTCTTACTAGACGATTTCTTATAATACGAGTAGGTACATGTATGTTACCCATCAAATCATAGTTTAGTGTGAGAATAATAACCGTTTCAATGTAAATTCTTAAAATTTCCAGGTGCAAGCAGGTCAGACCTACTATGTGTACAGTCCAAACTACCCCCAGAACTACAGGCCAGGAGTGCAGTGCCGCTGGGTCGGCATCTGTCCCTCCGGGTACAACTGCCGGCTAGACTGCAATGATATCTCTTTGCCACAGGTCAGATAAAAAATTTGAATTGAAACATAAGAAAACCGAAGAAAATTACATGCTAAGAAGCATTTACTTTAGGATTTCTTCATGTTTTGTTCTTATTCCTAGCCTTATTTCATCAGCTACTTCAGACAGTGGCGTAGCGTGCTATCTCGGCGCCCGGGGCGGGAGACCCACTTTGCCGCCCCCATAATTAAATTTCGCAGGCAATGAGGTATCTTTAATAGGATGAGCGGTTTTACAAGCGGATTCTACGGGACTTATGAGCAGCGATGTCAGAAATAACTTTGTCAATATCAATATTAGCAGCCAATTCTTGTTCAATCGATAATATAGCCAAGTTTGACAGTCTAGCGGAGCTTAGAGCTAGATCTGAGGTATTTTTTTATTAGCTTCAACTTCGAAAAACTTCTCTCACAACTTGCAACACTAATCGCCAAAGTCAAATATATACGAATCAAGATGACTATATTTGGAACCGAAATTCCGAGATTTAGTTTTTGAATGAACTGGAGGAGCTCCAGTGGTCCTTTACCACTTATATCTTCCTCTGATTCAGAACAGGCAACAAACTGCTGGAGACGCTTCCGCTCCATCTAAAACTCGTCCTTGTCGATGTCTTCTAATACATGGGAAAGTCCAAAAGTTTCGCTGGCATCAAAAATCCGAACTGGTCCGATATTTTTTGAATTTGCTGGAATCGAGTCGTCATTTCTTGAATGATCTTGTCGAATGATGCGAACACCTCTCGACGGATTTCCTGCTCGTGAGACAAAGCTGCATCTTCAGAAGATTCATCGCCATGCATGCGTTTTTTTCTGCGAATTCTTCTCGTTTTGAGTTCGATTCCGAGTTTTTCGCAGAGAGTCTTAGCAAAGTCAATTGCTGCTTGCACGAAACGGTCTCTACTTTCCACTAGGAGGGTTATCAAAGCGTAGAGTTTCTGAGCACACTTATCCACACTTAGTCCTCGTTGCTGCAGGTAAATCTGTGCGTCATCTACTTCAGGTAGCACTGCAGTCCAAAAGCCAAGAAAAGATAGTTTGTTAAATGACTGCATGGCTGTCAGGAGAAGACTGGCTCCCGATCTTGTTTCGGAAGTTTGAGATGAATCTGTTAATTGTTCCAGTACCTCAAGAACTACCTCAAACTTATTTTTAAGCATCTTGACAGCTACATGTCTAGCGCTCCAGCGCGTTTCAGTGACTCGTTTCACTGCTTAGCCTGTGACGGCAATCAAAGCGTTCCATCGAACAGTTGATGCAGAAAAGAAGGCAAATAGCTTCTCCAGAGTTCCAAAAAACGTCACGGAATCCACTGATTCAGAAGCAGCGTGTACCCCAGCCAAGTTTAGCGAGTGTTTTGTGCATGCAACGAATAGAGCTTTCGGATTCAGTGCTTTAATCCTGGCTTGAACTCCATTGTGAATCCCTGACATTGTGGCAGCATTGTCATAAGCCTGTACTCTCAGATTCTGTATGTCCAGTCCATCTGATGTTATCTTCGCGATTATATCATTGCTGAGATCTTTTGCATTTTTTCCTTTTGGTTCGAAGAAGTCAATGAAAGATTCTACCACGGCGACTTTTTCTCCTTCGATATGTACGTATCGCAGAACTTGGCTCATTTGGTCATTGTGGGAGATGTCTGGTGTACTGTCGAAGATTACGCAATAATATTTAGCTTTTTGAATACGACGGATGATGGTCGATCGAACTTGCTGTCCCAGTAAGTTTATAAATTCATTCTGGGTTTCTGGAGATAGATATGAAACTGAGATATTTTGCCGCCCCCACGGGCTGGCCGCCCGGGGCGGGCCGCCCCCTCCGCCCCACCCACGCTACGCCACTGACTTCAGACAAATTAGTCCGCTTTCTGATCACTGCTGATCACTCTTCTAAAGAACTACAAGTTTGTTTAAAAAAAATACGATATAGTCACCTAATTGTTACTCTATTGCTGAGTGACTGTACCGTGTGTTAGGAATTTTTCCTGTTTAGCCCAAATATTAACTGGCAGAGAATTATGTACCCTTATGTAGCCTTATGTACCAACTATATGGTATGAAAGAATAAGGAATAGGGCCTGTGTGTTTCTTTAATGCGCCAACTGCAACGGCGTGAGTTTTAGATGTGCTTTTTTTCTACAGCAGGAAGGGACTTATAACTTCCAATTCACATTCTCCACGAGTAACAACGACTTTAAAATTACAGACAAGTGGCTGTTCTCTCGACCGTCTGCTGATATCCAAGTCCGGTGACCCTCAGTTGACGTCAGCAGACTACTACTGCGGCACAGGGACTGTCACCGCCGTGTCTACTGGCCAGAGGATCAGCGTGGGTGAGTAAGAGAAAGACAAAAAAGTTCTCGAGTGGCGAGCACGGGCCGGAAGACGTAGTGTGGGCCGACGATCTGGTGAAGGTCGCGGGAAGTATTTGGATGCGGGCAGCGCAGGACAGGTCGTACCTAGTGGTCGTTATGGAAATCCTTGGAGGAGGCCTTTGTCCAGCAGTGGACGCGGCGACATGTCGAACTCCGAGAAACCCCCAAAGTTTCGAATGTTGTCATACCTTTCACAAAGCGATATGCCAACATGAGCGACGGTGACAAATAGATCCGAAATTACTTAAATTTCGGAGTTACTAGCAGCTCTGCTGTAGACTTTCTTCCAAACGCAGACGAATGCTTGAGACAAATTAATGCCAATAGTGTTGTCCCGCGTTCCAGATTCATATGGCCCACCGAGTGCACCGTCAGGTTTTTAGTGACAGTTCCTCAGAAAGGAACAGCCCCATATAGCCCATCGTATACACATACGATTTCATGTATTACTAGCGGCCGCCCGCGTATGCGTGGACCCCGTCTTAACCCCTTAGGGGTTGAATTTGCAAAAGAGACTCCTAGCACTTGAAGTTTCTGAGATTTCGTGAAGAGTGAGTGAGTGAGTCAGTGACCTTTCGCTTTTATAGATATAGATTTTCCTGATGAAAAATTACCCTTGCTTCAGCCTATCAAAGACAGGGAATACTAGTGATTTCTGTTTTTTAAATAACTCATTCATATGCCAGGGTTGATAACGTCGACGCAAAGTCCTGGAGGAAGATTCATGTGCCAGCTGACCGCGCAGGCCGCCACGACAAACCCCACCTGTAGCTGCGGCTATAAGAAAACAGTAAGTTGGATAATTACATTTTAATAGAAAAATCTTTAACTGTCCCTGTGTATTTGGAAAGTTTCCCTAGGAAGCGGTCCAATGACAGGCAGGCAGGACGACCAATGACGGCGTATGCACGCGCAGTAATTGCCATAGCCGACGCGATCTGCACGCGTTGGTTTGGCTGAAGCTTAAATTAGAGCTATCGTTTTGGCGCCACTGTAGAATAAGGTCATTGTCACTTGCTATTATAGTGAGGACTATCACATTTGCATTCACACGGTTGGCGCCACTGTAGAGTAAGGTCAATCGCCGTGGTGCCAACTGTTAAAATATAAAAACAATAGCCCTCATTGTGCCCCTTCGTTTTGTATTTCTTTTATTTAAGGTTCTCTAGAAATAGATTCTTCTGTCTATTCCACTTTGATCACCTGGATTTGATTACTCAGGTGACCAAAGTGAACTCCAGGTGACACTTTGGTGTCCTTTGATCACCTACGTTATCCTGGGTGATCAAATCCAGGTGATTAAAGTGGAATAGACCGATTCTTCGTCGCGCTAGATAGTCTGGTGAACTGAAAATTTTCCATACCAGTCAGGATATTTTTGTCGTTGATTCCAGAACCGTATAGTCGGTGGGCAACAGACAGGCGTGAACGAATTCCCAATGATGGCTGGTCTGGCCTATAGAGATATAGGGCAGATCAAGTGCGGCGCCGTCATCATCAGCAAGCGATATGTGATGACCGCCGCCCACTGTCTGACTGGACAGAGCCTGAGCAACCTGGCCATCATCGTGGGAGAGCATGACGTCACCGTTGGTAAGACAGAACTCATCATCATATCATTAGGTCCAGTAGCACTTGATACTATCCACGTACCAGCAGTCGCAGCGTAGGACTTCCACCCACAAGGTGGTGGCCCAAAATGATACGGAGGTCAAGTGCGGCGCCGTCATCATCAGCAAGCGCTATGTGATGTCTTCGTTGGTACTAAGCCAAAAGTCATCATCATCATCATTAGGTCACGTACCAGCAATCGTAGCGTGATGAAACTTCCAACCACATTGCAAAGGGTGGAGGTGGATAGATGACCTGGTAAAAGCTGCACGATACTGGCCGATTCAAACTAGCCAGTCTGGAAATAATTGGGGTAGCCATTGGACGTCCTATGGAAAATAAACTCGAAAGTTAGATCAGATGAATGTACTCGTCAGTGTTTATTATCTCTAAAAAATCTACTGCCTCAGGCGCTCTAAAAGGTGACTGAGTTTATTTCGCCACTTCTCAGTACCATCCCATATTTTATAATTATTGTCCTGAAGTGGTGGTAGGGCAAGCTATTATTTGGGACGTAGCACGTTGTAAGCGCCCTGGAGCTAAGTACTTACTGAAAAATATTTCGATTTTGATTTTGACGTGTCTTATTCCCTTTTACAGGAGATTCTCCAGCAACCCAAGGATTTCAGGTCATCTCTGCAATAATTCATCCTAATTACACGCCGTAAGTTGCAATTTCATACTAATAATTTTACTATGCCTGAGTAGTTTAAACCCTCTGCAATAAAATTACTTCATTCGTCATCATAATACGAGTATGTAGCGACGTACCTGAGTAAACGTAAATATCACCAATGTAAAGTGTGATTAATGTCAATAGACCGTCATCATAATTATCATTTCAGCCATAAGATGTTTACTACTGAACACAAGCCTCCTTCAAATATTTCCATATTGGCCGGTTAGTCCTGACCTGATGTCGTCGATCCACCTTGTGGGTGGACGTCCAACGATTTGTTACCCGGTACGTGGCTTTCACTCTAATAAATAGAACGCCACAAAAATGAAATTTGGACGGACTTCATGCATATGGCCCACCATAACGTGCCCAACTGCCCACTGTAGATTCGTTCTTGGTTCCAAGTCTAGCACTTTTTTATCAGTTCCACTAATTCAATTGGAATTATTATTTGGTGTCATAGTAAGTCTTGTACTATGCGGTCTCCATTTTATATTTTTTACCGCAGCGATGATTGTTAGTATCACATCCTATGGAAACAGGTCATCAAAGTGTGTAAAACGATTTTTTCGTGTTTTCAGGTCGAACTACGATTATGACATAGCGATCCTGAAAACGAACGCGGACATAACTTTCAGTGACCGCGTCGGCCCCGTCTGCTTACCTTTCAAATTCGTCAACACCGACTTCACCGGATCCAAACTTACTATTTTGGGTAACGCGTTTTTTTCATGATATAGCTCTTGTAGGTTACTAAACCTTTGTTTGTCACCTGTTATCCGCTTTGCAATGGAGGGAAGTCGAACCTTAACTTCGAACTCCTCCTATGTTCTTCTGATTAATTTCGTTGCGGGTCCAATGACAGTTTAACTTTCCCCCGGGACAAACTTGACCTTCACTGGTTGGGTTATTGGCGGTCAAGCTGTAGATCCCGGCTACACAGGAGTTGCAGCGGTGGGAACGAGTGGTGGGAATAGTCTTGTTGCAGTGACTATCTCGTAGTTCTAGCGCTTTTAACTCAGTCAGTGGTTACAGTTACAGTTTAACTCACTCAACTGAGGTATGCGAGTGAGGGTGTTTTTGTAACGTCAAACGTCAGCGAGACTAGATCTCCTTCGGATATAAGCTCTGTGACGTCATAATCCGCTGCCGCTCCCATACCTCCGGTACTGAGTTAGGTGTTGGACCTATAGTTGCGAGAGATTCCTCAAAAGCAATCTAACAACTAACTTGAAGTGACCCGGGGTCTACTCTATTTTCTTTAACAAGAAAGTCTTCGTTCGTTTCAGCCGAAAGACGTCTACTGCTGGACAAAGGCCTCCCCCAAGGATTTCCACAAAGACCGGTCCTGTGCCGCTCGCATCCAGGCGCCTCCCGCGACCTTCACCAGATCGTCGGTCCACCTAGTGGGAGGCCTGCCCACGCTACGTCTTCCGGCTCGTGGTCGCCACTCAAGAACTTTCCTGCCCCAGGGGCCGTCAGCTCTACGAGCTATGTGCCCTTCTCTTTCTCCTACCTAAGAAAGTCTTAGTTGAATTAAATTTTTAAGCGTTACATTTTCAACAGGATGGGGGACTCAATTCATTGGCGGACCGACTTCTAACTACCTCCAGAAGGTAGACGTGGATGTGATCAGCCAGAGCTCGTGCAGGAATGTGGTGCCCACTCTGACGGCACGACAGATCTGCACTTACACACCAGGGAAAGACGCTTGCCAGGTACGTATTATTATGTCAAAACACCCCATAATTATTCTCAATTTTAATCTGGGTTATGGAGGCCTGATGCTCGCAATATGTTACACGGACTGTTTGAAGCTGCTGGAATCGACAGCTTCAAGCTGTGACTGCATAGTAAACTACAGTATTCTACGTACCATGATACCGGTCGATCATCACCTCAGCCATAGGACGTCCACTGCTGAACATAGGCCTCCCCCAATGCTTTCCATGTTGCCCGGTTGGTAGCGGATGACCTAATCAGGATCAAATTTTTTGATTATGAATTTAGTAACTATCTTTCCAGTGTAGGGAGTATATGCCAAATCATCCATTTAGTTTGCCTCTGGTAAATAAGAGAGGGTCGTCTCCTACAGTGGAGACATTTTTTTTTTTATAAATAAAGTTAGCAATTTATATTGCCCAATAGTCCCATTAGCCTCTCGTGTTAAAAAGCTAAATAAGCTTGTGTTACGAGTCGAGCGGCGCGCGGTGGGTTTCGAACCCGCGTTCCTCGGATCTCAAGTCGGCCACTCCGACCCCTTAACCGTTCGGCTATCGTGGCTATGATAATTGACCTGATGATGAAAATAACTAAATTCTAATGTGCACAGGATGACTCCGGCGGCCCACTGCTCTACACGGACTCCAGCAACGGCCTGCTATACAGCATCGGCATCGTCAGCAACGGGCGTTTCTGCGCCGGCGCCAACCAGCCGGGCGTCAACACGCGGGTGCCGGCCCTGCTCTCCTGGATCCAAACCAACACTCCCGACGCCAGCTACTGCTATAAATGATTCTGAACCCACCGTGTTTTATTCAACTTACAAATTACAACCAACAAACCTTAAGCTCGCGCTAACTGTGCGGCAGTACCTAGTCAGTGCACTGGTATCTTGCAAACAATAAAACCAAAACAATGAAAGTTCAAAACAAAATAAAACCAAATATTGACACCAATCTGTTTTTCATTTTAGAGCTGATTTTTCAATCATTAACAACTTTTAACTGAAGAATAAATTTGTCATTTTGACATATTTCCCATACTGAAACTGTCAAACTTATTCTTCTGTAAGAGTAGGCGCACACCGTTGATTTTTTATCGGCCGATAGTTTAGTTGGGCAGTTGATCAGTATGGGCAGTTGATCAGTATGGGCATGTATGGGAGTGCGCACACTACGCCGATTCGATTTGGCCGATTCTTCATACAATTTAAAATCGGGCACAACTATCGGCCAACTAAAAATCAACGGTGTGCACCTACTCTTAAATGTAGTTCATCGCCATAAACCAAAGAAGAAGAAGAAAGTTATCAGACGATTGAAAAATCAGCCTTTACTTCGGCCATTCTCAGATGAGCTAGTTTTTACGTGTCCGGGCTGTTAAATCGTTAAAAATGACAAATTAGAGACATGCAAGTATTTTTATATGTTACTTAACAACCCCATCCAGTTGTGCATTAAATCATAGGCCTCTATTTTAAGTATTTGTGACTTAATTAATTTCATGAACCTCTGTTCTCTAATTACCGTTACGCGTCCGCACACCGACTTAATGTTAAAACTTGGCTGTAATTTTTATGTCGTATAGATTTGGTTTACTCCATTCAACATTTTAAAGAGTACAAAAGATTGTCTTACGCATAGCAAAATATCTATTCAATAGAACCATTCTGTAAATAATTAGAATTAAAAAACTGCTTGTCCGAGCGAAAGTCCTAATTCCCGTGACGTTTTCTGTTTTTGGGCACACAAGCCTAAATAATAATATTTGACACATCATTTACGCGCGCGGCGCGAGCCCTTAGTTAGTTCTAAGACCTGTTAGCAAGTAGACGTCTATTGCGTTGGCGTACCGTCGATGAATTGCGTAAGAGTATAATTACCATATCTTTGGTTTTCAATTTTTCTATTTACCATGTCCTTATTTTTATACTCGATTTTTGAAGGTAGATCCACGTTGTTAATTTAAATAGATTCAGTACTTTGGCCTTCATACGTTGTAGTAAGACAGTATTTGCATACGCTGAAGATTTTGGAAATTTTGAAGAAAAACTATCGTTTTATAATTTCCATGTACTAATTACCGTATATTTATAATCACCGTTGTATGAAATTATTACCTACAAATTGCACTCACGATTGAATAAGTATGATGATAAAATATGAAATATACCTAGACTTTCGCATAACAACTGTACGGACTTTTCTTCCAATCTGACAATCAAAATTTTAAAAAACTTTCGTTAGAGTAACCTCGAAATAGATTCGATTTCATGACGAATGTTCAGCTTCAGTTGCTGCATGGTTGTTGGATTTAAGAGTATATTTTAACCCCTAAGGTGACCCCACAAAAAGAAGTTACCTGGAGTGAAATCGGGGCTTTCTGATGGCCAGGAGATGTCACCCCTGCATGAAACATGTCTCGTACCAGATATTTATTTTTACTATTAGTATAATTGATATTAACATCTTAAATCATTAATTAATTCTAATATAATACCATTAACATCTATCCATAATACCTTTGCCCTAAGAAGATGAGATTTTCCAACAGTAACACTTACCTGGCGTGATCACATTAAGAACAAAAGAGAACAAATCAACAGACAATGGGACTTTTCAAGGCAAGAGTGTATAGGCACTTTGTACCATCCTAAACTGCATCCTACCTGCTTTGTTATGCATAGAAAAAACTTCGTGATATGCAATGGGTACTGGACAGAAGAAGCTTGGAGAACAAACTATATACAAATGGATCCTAAAACCCATGTAGACATGGCATCGACTTAGCCTCGCAAATGTAGAAATACTTTAACGTTTTCAAAATAAAGGTTTAAAAATCTTGAGCTGTGCACCTTGGTTTACAAAGTCCACTGAAGTGATACCAAACGTCAAAGAGGGTGTGGAAAATCCTGTAAAGCTTACAACCAAAGACTAGACCTTCATGCAATCTATTTGCTGCATCCCTTCTAAATTCTAAGAATTCTGCATTTAGGCTCAGGAGAAAGCGAATAGCATCAATCTGAAAACTTATTGTAAAAGAATCGAGGTGACAAATCATGGGATATGCTGAGCTGGAACTGTCATTATTACAAATTCAATTTAATCTGATAATGGGTGATGGCTGATCGCAGATAGATTAAAAAGAGGAAAAATCACTTAAATCATTAATTAATTTTTCGATATATGCATATCCGAAAAATCAAATTTGTGAGATCTCCTGATCCATTATCTGTACGTTAAATCGTTTGTACCACATTGAAATCAAATAAATGATGATTAAGATTCTGATGAAATGTGACACGTAGCCCCTTCTGGCCGAAACTAAGTGTTCCTGTTATAGCCTCGATTATTGCAGTATACTGAAAATATCTTGATACAATAAATAATAGAAATGAGTGTTTTCCTTTTTTCAAAGGGTTATTAAGTGTACCTACAGCGTTTTTTATGACGCTATATATTTATATACAAATTTATCAATGCAAGATATTGTTTTCTTGCTATTTTACATATTTTTTCTAATTACCGTTAGATTAAGTATTAGCCTTATCTAATTACCGTGACCATAAAATTTTTGGGTCTCATTTACGCGAAAACCGCTTGGAATAATTTGACGCCTTAACGATTGTTAAATTCGTACTTTTCATGTGTTTCATATTTAAATGCGTTTAAGTCAATTAAGCCAAATTTCAAAAATGATATGGTAATTAGGCTGAGAACGCCTAATCGTGAGAATGACCGACTTAGTAATTTAAACCTACCTTTTGTTCGAAGCTCGGTAGGTCCCGTGAACCCACTCACTCGTCAGGCTGTGGGTACCATTATGAAAAAATACCTTTCATGTTGAAGATTCGGTATCTTTTATTATGGAAAATGAACACATTATGTATTCCACTGAAAAGTCTAAAGAAAACTGAAAGAATTGATTCGGAAAATCGTGATTATCTCCGTCTGCCGACTATTGTGGCTTCCACACTTCGTTTGCGACTGTTAATATGGTAATTAGGATATTCTACTTTGACAATAAGGATTTTATAATATCGTATACCACATGTTAGTCGGAGGCAGCCTGACTACTAGACTGGTGAGTGTTGGAAACAGTTTTTTATTAATAAAATAATAATAGCTGTAGAAAAACGGATCTTTTCAGGCGCTAAGTAGCAGTCTAATGTTCGTGTGTATCTAACCTAGTACCCGTAGACAAAGTTACCTTAAATTAATTTTCAAGATCGTTTTACTACGTTTTCTTACACATGCTATTTTGTGATACTTTATAAGTTCATAATAAAATTTGTTTATAGAAATGGGCGTAACTCTACGAACGATATTGTTGTTGGCGACAGCATGCGCACTGGCCCAAGGTGGAATAAGTGCGAGTTTAGGAAATACGTACGTACCTATACAATACATACCTACACAGTGCTAAAACCGAACACTTTAATTTGTAACTAGATAGACAGGCAGTTTGAACTGAAAACTGAACAGAATAACGAATGGGTGACAGAAAGCATCTGGATGAAGCGCGGGATTGGTCGTTTTGGATATCCTTGGGGGAGAGGTCTTTGTCCAGGTCGACGCCGCGTCCTTTAGCTAAAATGATGATGATGATTTACGGGTGACGTGCTATTTATTCCAATACGAGTAAGCAAATTAAAGGACGATTTTAACATGGCATGAGAATAAAAAAATTGTTACCTACAGTACTTTATATAAGTACCTATAGCTAATCGAATTGCCCCATCTCATCACAGACTGGTGCCTCATCCTGTACCTCTAGTACGAAAAACTTTCGAGTTCGTTTCGTTGCGTATTCAAAGTGTCATCGAAAAATTTTGTATGAAAAATTAAACAGCGCCCCCTAGGGCGGCTATAATATAGGGGGCGCTGTTTAATTTTTCATACAAAATTTTTCGATGACACTTTGAATACGCAACGAAACGAACTCGAAAGTTTTTCCTACTAGAGGTACTGATGTAGGTTTCTTCCCTTTAAACCTTTATTACAGTTGTTTGACCACTGTATTCTAATTCTCCATCATTCCAGCTGAGCCCTGAAGTGACCCACTACATCTACAGCCCGGGGTTTCCCGCCAACTTCACGACGGCTGTGCAGTGCCGCTGGGTGATCACGAGCCCGCCCGGCTTCGTCTGCCGGCTCAACTGCTCGCAGATCGTACTGCCTGATGTAAGTGCCATTTTTGAGCCGTGTGGTTCCGGCAAAGTTGGATAGAACCACTTCCACTATGCGTGGATATCGTACGAGTAAAAGGCATCAAAGGTATATGCGAACATCAGAACCCGTCTCTCCAGTGCAGGGTGTTGAGGCTGAATCGTCAACTTTGGTAAATTGGAGAGAGCCGTACGTGCTCCCGCAGTAGAGACTAAAATTATACCTGATGATAATTTATTTATAAGGTAGAGGTATAATTATTTATTTAAGACTTCGAGTTACTTTTCATAATGTTACATAGTTAATTAATGTTACTAGTGACGTCAATGCGTTCTCTTTGCCGTACAAAACTACGGGTGTCCCATTTTCACAGTTCAGAGAGTCAATTGACTACGACATCGTAGTCAGTGGACATCCACTACCCTATTCCTTTCCTTATCATGTAACATAATGTCATTATTAGCTACCTGTGGTCTTAGGAACTTGAGTTCCAGTAGTTATTCGTCATTATTTCCAGAGTCCATCATGCTCAGAGGACCGGCTGCTGATCTCAAACCAGGGCGACCCTTCGCTCATGGTGGCGAACACTTATTGCGGCCGGCGCTCTGTGACCGAAGTCTCTATAGGACGCCGAATCACCATAAGTAAGCTCTGTATTCTGAAACTAAAATATTAGATAGAATACCTAACTTTTTATTTATCTACAAGTTCTAGCGAGGATGCTCTTGGCCTGTATTGAGATGAACACAACTGAAAATAAATAAATAAGGCCTAAATTTTTATTAGTCATATTATGAAAAGCCTTCATGAAAACGACGCTTTTTCAGGTTTACTAGCCCCACCAAATACCGCTGGAGGGCGTTTGTTGTGTGAAGCAACGGCTGAGAGAGAAAACATTTTACGTGAGTTAACATATGTTTAAGTAAACGAATAAATTCGAAAAAAAAACTTATTAAATACCAAAAGTATTTAATTAATTATTGAACACTGATTGTGATTTTTGTTTAATTGTATTTTATGTGATTCGATTTTTCATTTTCTAGGTCGTTCATCACTGGCCGAACTTGGAATACAGCCTTGGATTAATTTTTAGGAATGGATTAATAATATAGAAACTCTGGATATTATGAATAAAGTTTAAATTCGAATTGTAGTATTTTCATTTAAAAATTCACTTGTGTATTTTTTAAATTCCCTATCGAAGTCACTGTGATTTAAGAATGAACCTTCAATAAATTCAAAGAGTTAGCTACCGTTGTTGTGGTTAAACAAACCGCGAAAGAAAGAAAAAGAAAAAGAGAGCTTGTGAATAAAACAAAAAAGTTTTCCCTCACTGAAAACTTCGCAATACACAGATGTCGCCACCGTCAACGCGGGAAAATGGCCGCGAGTTTAGGCGCGAATCTATTGATTTTCCGCGCGCTCTCATTCCGTTCCTAACTTCACCCTTCAGCCCTTCAACTCCGGTCTTACACAATAATCTATTAGGACTAATTTACTGCAAAAAGATTTTCATTTCGCATTCCAATTTCGAATTTCATTATGTTTCGAACGCGTTTTACTTTTTTTAGTTGCGCATTTTCCGTAATGGCGTAAAGATGTGTTTTGTCGCCGGCCAGTTTTATAGTGTGTAGTGCGAGATGGCTGAGGTACTGCGGATCTTGGTGAAGAGGTGATGAGATATAAAAATGCCAAAGAGGATACCATTCCACGTCGTCTATGCCACAAGTAAGTGAATGTATTTATTTAAATATTATTTAAATTTTATCACAAAGGAAAGCTTGTGTTGTTTTTTGCTATTTAATTTGAATTTAAATGATTTTACCAGTTATTTCTGTTACCCTACCTACATTATTATATATATCCTTACCTATATATATCATATATCTTTATTTTTATTCGAGAATTTACCGTCTAGTTTTAGACAGACAAGTTAGTCGATTCGTGATGGAGCTAATTTAATAGACTTAACAAAATGTTGTCTAGGTGATCTAGAAATTACCTTTTGCATATTCTGTGCTATGGCGATCGTAGCGAACAGTTAATACCTACATGTGGGTCTGACTCTGGTTTAAATGAAATTACCTATTTTAAAGCTTGTAAGTGAAAATCGTGTTTAACTCGCAAAAATATTGAAGATTTCTACAAACGTTAATGAGAATGAACGTAAGAATCCGAACGTTGTACTTATTGTTACTTAAGTCTCTACCTACTACTAAAAGTTTCTTAGGTCTACATTAGATCCTATTACCTATTTAAAGTGTCTGCCCGTCTATAGAAAATTAAATATCCTGACAGACCCCTTACCATTAGTTTTGTTACGACTTACTTACATCCCCATTATTTTATGATAACCCTCTGCAAGTAACTTGATAGTTCACACTAACACCACAATCAATTTATGAACTTTTTATGAGCTGTCAAAACGCAATCACCCCATAAAGTACGACAGCACATCCTACTAATCCTACTAATATTATACTCGTAAATGTGAAAGTTTGGATCTCTGGACGTCTGGATGTTTGTTACTCTTTCACGCAAAAACTTCTGAACGGATTTTGATGAAACTTTACAGTATTATTGTTTATAGCCCATTTATGACGACCTGTGACAAACTAAATTTCATGCGGGTGAAGGCGCGGGCAAAAGCTAGTCAGAGTATAAATGTTTGTTGCAAAATAGCACTAAATGCAACTGCAAAAGATGCCACAGTGTTTCGCTTGATGTGCCGTCATCAGTACAACAATAAAGAACGTACCTACGTAATTAAAATTGTTGCATACATAATTGATTGCTTTGTAGCAACAATCATGTAACTAACTACTGTTTATAAAATTGATATTTAACTTAATGGGTTTTCGGGGTAAAATAAAGTTTTATCAGTAGGTACTTGTGTCTTGAAGTGTTCCCTTTGTTTTTAGATATATCTCTTGTTCTCTACCTTTTACTCGCGGCTTTGCTCGCATAGCGTAGTGTAGTCTCAGAAAGATTTGCTTGTGTGCCTTTTATTTTTTTTAAACAACAGATTAACGATTAACGAAATTAACTATTTGATTAACGGTGCCCAACTATGCCAAATTGTTGAGGCATTCTCTACCGAAAAACATCTAAATTGGTTCAGTGATGTGTGAAAAGGTAATAGACAAACAGCTAATTCCACATGTTAAAATACGGGAATATTCCCACCTTTCGTTCCCACCGCTGCAACTCCTGTGTAGCCAGGATCTACAGCTTGACGGCCAATAAAAACGCAAACAATAAAGGTCAAATTTATCCCGGGCAAAAGTTAAACTGTCATTAGACCCGCATCGAAATTAATCAGAAACCGCATGTTACAATAGTAACTAGTTAAAGAATATTCATTATATCGACTTCCTTTGAACGTATTTACTTATACAGGTATTAAATATACATAAAGTAAGCAATGCCAGACTGGCAGGCGGCCGTTCGTATGAAATATTCAAGAACTGCCACGCGGGGTCGATAGTTATTGATTAGTCAATTATAGACTAGGTACAGCTAATTGAAACTGGATGTAGGGCAATAAGTAGCACTTGCTTATTATTGAAGAGTATGAGTTTCATGATGAATTTAATCTACTAATTATAAAGAGGTAAAGTTTGTGTGTTTGTATAATTTGTTAAATTGTAAGGGGTAATCTCGTGATCTACTGAATGTTGTTATATTTTGGGTACTAACAGGCACTATCATCACAACTGAGTATCATTGTTTTGCCGTGACATTTCGTCGTCACCTTTTTAGTGGGTACCTATTCGGGTTGATAAAATATAGGGTGTACCAGTGACCAAATATCTGTGTAATAGCTTGATAAGATAGGTATGTAGGGGTTTACAAATTCCTCGATACTACGGCCTTGAAATGGATGGGAAGCTCTCAGAATTTTTCTTTTTCTGCCTCGCCTTTTTCCAGTTCGAGGAGTCGGCTTTCCCGATTATGTGCCGCCACTTGAACGTCTTGTTCGTAGAGTCCCACCCAATACTTTCATGTCCTTTTGGACATTCGTCCAGGTAGTTTAAAGTGTTCTTTTCCCCCACTTTTTTGTAGCCAACGAATCTGTCAGATTGTATGAAGAACTATTACAGAGTAAATACAAATGAGTAGGTCATCTTCATAGAAACGCCGAGCGCGGTTTGTATGTGAGCGCGCCAATACGTACCTATGCGGCGCGCACGCACACACTGACAAAATTTAGCGTGGATTAGCGGTGAGGTGCGCTGAATTTTGTCAGTGTGTGCGTGCGCGCCGCATCGGTGCGTTTCTATGAAGATGACCTATTCTTTTGTATTTACTCTGACTATTATATCCGCAGGTGAAGACAGCTCGTACCCAGCATGCGAGCTCAACGCGCAGGGCCCGGCGGCGCGCGGCTGGCGCAGCGTGGGCGCGCCGCCGCACGAGCTGCTGCTGCGGCTGGCCAGTGTCACGCAGGTGCACAAGCTGCAGCTGCTGGCGCACCATCAGCTCATCCGTGAGTACTGTTCCTAGGTTTGAACTTAAAGAAGGTAGGAAGGTATTTAAAGAAGGTCGCCAGCCTTAAGCTAATATCAAGTCATCCGTAAGTAAAGTATGTTAGACCAGGCCCCTCGTTTCCAAGTCCTCAATGTGCCTCTGGTAAATTAGTGAGGGCTGTGCTCCTGCAGTAGAGTGAGGAGGGTGTTGTGAGTGGCCAGTTTGGGGCGTGAAAGCCAAATGCTCCACCAATAGTTTCTGGTAAGTTAGAAAGGGTCGTGTTCTTGCAGTGGACACTAGATGTCTTCATGATGAAGGGTGTCGTGGCCAGCTATATGCTCCATTCCACTCATCGTTCGTAAGTATAGTGACAACAGGGTCCGCGGGCCATGGTCTTGCAGTGGACACTGGATGACCTGCATGATGAAGGGTATGTGGCCAGCTGTATGCTACTTCCCATTGAACTCATTCGTAAGTGTTGCAAGTTAGAGCAGGCTTCTTCTTTTCCATGGGACATTCTTGCTAAGTACCCAGGGAATCAGGGTCTGCTATATGCTTCAGCGTATTCGTAAGTACCAAGGCTACTCTACTGTAACTAAGAGCAGGCTCCTCTTTCTATTGGGCACTCTTGGCAAGTGCTCCACTAATAGTCTCTGGTAAGTTAGAAAGGGTCGTGTTCTTACAATGGACACTAGATGACTTCATGATGAAGGATGTCGTGGCCAGTAATGCTCCTCATGCTATTGGGTACTCTTGGCCAATGCGCAGGGCCCGTCTTTTTCATGGGGCACTCTTGTGAAGTACCCAGGGAGTCATGGTCTGCTATATGCTTCAGTGCATTCGTAAGTACACCAAGTACCAAGGCTCCTCTACAGTAAGTAACAGCAGGCTCCTCTTTCTATTGGGCACTCTTGGCAAGTGCTCCACTAATAGTCTCTGGTAAGTTAGAAAGGGTCGTGTTCTTACAATGGACACTAGATGACTTCATGATGAAGGGTGTCGTGGCCAGTATATGCTCCTCATGCTATTGGCTAGTCTTGCTCAACGCGCAAGGCCCGTCTTTTTCATGGGGCACTCTTGTGAAGTACCCAGGGAGTCATGGTCTGCTATATGCTTCAGTGCATTCGTAAGTACACCAAGTACCAAGGCTCCTCTACAGTAAGTAACAGCAGGCTCCTAATTCTATTGGGTACTCTTGGCCAACGCGCAGGGCCCGGCGGCGCGCGGCTGGCGCAGCGTGGGCGCGCCGCCGCACGAGCTGCTGCTGCGGCTGGCCAGCGTCACGCAGGTGCACAAGCTGCAGCTGCTGGCTCATCATCAGCTCATCCGTGAGTACTGTTCCTAATTTGAATGGGCCAGCGTGGAGAGCGTAGGCCAAGTCCTCTATTGCCTCAGGAAGTTAGAGAGGATCTTTCTCTACGTGCGTGCGTCGCCAGCCCTAAGCTAATATCAAGTCATCCGTAAGTAAAGTTTGTTAGAGCAGGCCCCTCGTTTTCAAGTCCTGTGCATGCTCTGGCTGTGCTCCTGCAGTGGATATTAAATGAACTGATCATGAAGGGTGTCCTGGCCAGCTTTATGCTACTTTAAACTCATCATTCGTAAGTCACAGTAAATTAAACCAGGCCCAGAGGGTCGTGCTCTTGCAATGGACACTAAATAACCACATAGAGGGTGTCGTCGTGGCCAGGCTGTAAATTACTTTCAACTCATCCGGTTAATTAGAGCAATCCCCTGTTTAAGTTAGACTTTTAAGAAGATGAAGCTACGATAGAGGACGAGTCATGGTCAGCCAATCAGCCATACTCTACTAAAGTGCAGCCAGTTATAGATCGAAGAATTAGGGGGTCTATTTCTAAAGTTTTTATAGTAATTAGGTATATGCTCCCAACAAAATAACAAAATGTTCGAACTACTTCACAGCGGCGTGCGTGGAAGTCCTGGTGTCTGGCGGGCTCATCTCCGAAGGCGCGGCGACTCCATGCGGCGCGACATACACCAGCGTTGGCCGCGTCACTCTAGCTCGGCCTACTTCTCAAGCCAGGACCAGGGAACTCAGGTAGGCTACCTTTTCCTCTTGCTTCCATAGTCAGTAGTCCCTAGTTCTCACCAGGACCTCACGAGTAGTCGCAGTAACTGGATCGCGCTGCGCGAGTTCGCGCACTCCTGGCACACAATCAGGCGAAGTTATGAGAAGAAGTGATGACATTTATCAACGATAGCAGCCCGACGCGAAGTACCGTATTTGTGGTGTCAAGCCCCAGAAGGGGGAGAATTGACTATGAGAAGGGACATGGATCAGATAAATTTGTAGGGAGTCGAGCAAAGCGCCCGGGGAAAAGAGCCCAGAGCAAGTACCCGCGCGCTCTCCCGAGATTCGGTTCGTACGCCGTGAGGCAGGAAGAACCATGGGTGGTGGAGGGTTAGTCCCTAGTTCTGTTGCTCAATATTTTAGTCCTGATGTCTGGCGGGCTCATCTTCGAAGGCACGGCGACTCCATGAGGCGCCACCTACACCAGGGTCGGCCGCGTTACACTAGCACGACCTACTTCACAGGCCAGGACCAGAGAACTCAGGTAGGCTACCTTCTGTTCTTGCTACCATCAGTAGTCCCTAGTTCTGTTGCTCAACATTTGAGTCCTGATGTGTTGGGCTCATCTCCGAAGGCGCGGCCACTCCATGCGGCGCGACATATACCAGGGTTGGCCGCGTCACCTGGCTCGACCTATCTTTCAGGCCAGGACCAGAGAACTCAAGTAGTCTACCTTCTTGTCATCAGCTTTGCACTGTAAGTCGATCTTGAAACTTCAAACTCCTCCTAAGTATATTATGTGTTCTGCTAGAAAAGAAGAATACATAACTACCTACAATATTTGTTTGCAGATCAGCAGCATTGCCCGAGCCCACAGTAGCGCGTTTTGTAAAACTCAGACTATCCGGCCCACATCCACCAGCAACAGACGATGATCAGGTATGTCATTAATTTATCAGCTAAATAGGTACTTTAACGCCCGTATTCACAAACATTACTATGAGGTCTCATAGTGCGCGTGGATGCACAGGGTCACACACGAACCAATCACAGAGCTCTATTCAACTGTGCGTTCGATTTTCTACTTCACTAAAGCAAGCATCGTTTGAGAATACGAGCGTACCTAAATAATAAATCATCTCAAATCAATCTGATAAACGTGAGGCGAGTAAAACCTCCTTTTACCTCTGGTAAATTAGACAGGGTCGTGCTTAAGGAAGGTGAACTTAAGATGCTAAAAGGTTTCCCCTAATTTTGGCTCCCCATAGCACAGTTTTCAGTTGGATCAATATAATTCTGCATTCATGTCAGTAAATAGCTAGCATTTCTTTAAATTTCCAGGTAGCACTAATGGCAGTGAACGTCCTCGGCGAAGAAGTGGAAGAAGCGGAGAAGTCCACGCCAACATCGGCTAAGGCCGAGCCAAGTTACTCTCCATACGACGACTTGGCCTTCGTGATGTATGTCGACACGGAGATAGCGGACTTGGTCAGGACCTTGGATGAGAAGAAGAAGAACGCTGTTGCTGGTAAGTTGAAAAATATTCAAAAACACAATATAATATCTTCGCACGTTGAAAATACTGTAGGTCAATTTTCTTCTTCGTCACTACACTCTTGCCTGAGTAATCGTGGTCGTCACACCAGGTCCGGTGGCAAGCCTCACAATCCGTCGCTATTCTTCCCGCACTGCAGCCTTTCTTGTGCACTCGTGGAGTGGACCATTGAGTGCGGTTTTGACCTGGTCTGGCGACCTGCCGCGCGCTCTTGTGCCCTCAACCTTTTTCTGCACGTTATTACCTTCATAAAATCCTACTGCAAAATTAGCTCTTATTAAAATCTCATCACTTTTCTCTTTTACATTGACCATGTAATAGGGTTGCAGATCAAGAGGTTTGGTTTTTTTTTTTTGCAAACCACATCTGGTGCCCAAACTAGGAATGGAATCCTGTGTCTTGGAATCTTCCTAAAGAATTAATTTCCCGTTCCAGAGGAGCGGTTCGAATACGCCCGCCGGCTAAAGTCCGCTGGCTCCGCGCTCGCAGCCGCCGGAATCCGCATCGGGCGCTGGAGGCTGCGTAAGCGCACGGCTGCGGCGCGGGATGACTTCGAGCTGGCGAGACGCATGAGGGATAGGATCGCTGATGCTTTGGCTGGGGTTAAAGAAGACCCGCAGTTGTGTAGGCTGTTTGAGGAAGAGGGGGTAAGTTCTCAAGAAAACTTTAGGATAGTACTGGGGGGGAGAAGACTTCGAGCTGGAGAGACGCATGAGGGAGATTTGGCTGGGGTTAAAGAGGACCCATAGTTGTGCAGGCTGTTTGAGGAAGAGGGGGTAAGTTGGCAAGAAATCTTCAGGATAGTACTGGGGGAGATGACTTCGAGCTGGCGAGACGCATGAGAGACGCTGATGCTTTTGATGTTAAAGAGGACCCACAGCTTTGTAGGCTGTTTGAGGAAGAGGGGGTAAGTTGGCAAGAAATTTTCAGGATAGTACTGGGGGAGATGACTTCGAGCTGGCGAGACGCATGAGAGACAGCATCGCTGATGCTTTGGCTGGTGTTAAAGAAGACCCGCAGTTGTGTAGACTGTTTGAAGAAGAAGGGGTGAGTAAGTAGGTAGTTGAAGATCAAAGACAGGATACGTTTTAGAGCGTCATGTGGGAAGGCGACTTCGAGCTGGCGAGACGCATGAGGGACAGGATCGCTGATGCTTTGGCTGGGGTTAAAGAGGACCCGCAGTTATGTAGGCTGTTTGAGGAGGAGGGGGTAAGTTTGAAGCTCTAGCAAGAGGAGATGGTGATGTAGGAGACGCTGAAATTCCAGCTGAAATCCGCTGGCGTATCAGGCGCTGGCGGCTCCGCGAGCGCACAGCGGCTGCCAGAGACGACTTCGAGCTGGCGAGACGCATGAGAGACAGAATCGCTGATGCTTTGGCTGGTGTTAAAGAAGACCCGCAGTTGTGTAGACTGTTTGAGGAAGAAGGGGTGAGTAGATAGTTGAAGATCAAAGACAGGATACGTTTCAGAGCGTCATGAGGGAAGGTGGCTTCGAGCTGGCGAGAAGCATGAGGGATAGGATTGCTGATGCTTTGGCTGGAGTTAAGGAAGATGCGCAGCTTTGCAGGCTGTTTGAGGAAGAGGGGGTAAGTTTGAAGCGGTAGCGAGACTTAATTTAGAAGGGAGTGTGATGTGGAGAGACAATCTCAAGCTAAGACGTAGTTGAAGAAGTTAGTGTGTAAGTTCAAGCTTATAAAAAGGAGTCATTTGCAGGGGAGAGTGATATGAGACGAGATTCAGCTATCTCGCCTGATAAGGATAGAATACGATAAGTTTAAAAGAGTGGATAAGTTAAGGATTCAATTTTAAGGGAGAAAACTATAGCAATCGAAACATCACTAGCGCTGGCTACGGTCAAGGAAGGTCCACAGCTAAGCTTACGATGACTGTTAAAGAACTACATATCTTCACACCAAAACCTTCATCTTTTCCAGCCGGATGCCCGCAACGACTCGTCCATGCCGCAAGAGTACGACTTCTCCCACCACCTGTCGCCGTCCGTAGTGGCTGGCTCGCTCAGCCTGGACATCCCCTCGCCGGTGCCACCGCTGGAGGAGCCGGAACAGCAGGAGTACGCGAATGGGGATGAGGAGGAAGTCACCAATATGCCTAGTGTAAGTGTTTTTACCATGTTTTAGTAGGTACTTTGTAGAGAACATTATGAAAGGTAAGTAGGTTATATTTTATGACTTCACTTTCGTCTTGGACCTCGTGTCTTTTTTCAGTGTAACATCATTCATTAAGCTTTCGTCCAATATTTAGGAGGTAATTCATTTTGACGTGCTTTTTAACATTGCCATGTGTATAATCAATGTTTCCAGTTTAAAGTCCTCCATTTCAGGCCTGAATACTCTATGAAAGGCCTAAAAATCTACGATTCCACATCTTCATAGAGCTCATGTAGTTGATCCTAAATGAGCCATAAGCCAAATTCTACATGTAACTTCAGCAGTTCAGAGTGATTTTCTTTGTTGAGTTTGTTTTTAACTTGACGAACAAAAAATTCGTGTTGATAAGCCCTTCATAAATTCCAGTCCCCCGTCCAAACTCTACAAGAAGACATCCGGCCGATATCTCGCGAACCAACCCCACCACCACCACCACCGCAGGAAGACAAAGTTGACAAAGCCCAGAAGAAGATAGAAGAAGAAGTTCACAGGAAGATAGAAGAAGAACTGAGGAAAGAGACTGATAGCCCCAGAAGGAGTATTACGCCAAATGCTGCCAATGGTGGGTATACCAACTTTTTTCCCTTAAGAATGGTGCACAAATGTATACAACCAGTGTGCTCACCATGAGTTCACGTTAGGTGTGCTCGCAAGCGAGTACGACAAAAAAATCTATGGAGATGTTATTTCTTGAAGGTAGCCGCTAGGGGTGCTGTACAATATTATGTCATACATTTACGCCCGTACTCACAAACATTACTATAAGGTCTCACAGTGCTCGTGGACACACAGGGTGACACAAGAGCCAATCACAGAGCTCTATTCGACGCTGTGCGTTCGATTTTCTGCTTCACCTAAGCAAGCATCGTTTGTGAATACGGGCGTTATTGTCATTATTCGATTTTGCTAGCGAGCATACCTAACGTAAACTCATGGTAAGCACACTGATCAAGCTAACTGCGCACTTCCCTGCCGGGCTAGGATGCGCGCCGTGATAAAATCTTATCGACGATTTTAGACGACAAGTATGGGCCTATCGCGTAAAATCGATAAAATGGCTGGAATGCAACTCTCCCTCCCACTTACCCGTACACCTCCCTGCGTTCGCCATACGAGCGTCGATGTGACGTCACGGCTTACAGGTGCGCAGTTAACTCGACCAAGTTGTAATAAGTAACTAAACATTATTACTGTTTCCAGGTACTTTAGTTAGACGTAGAAATAAAAGTGCAGGACCTAGGTCTACATTCGAAGCTTATGAAGAGAGGCTGCTACCAGCTCTGAGGCAGTAAGTAAACTATAGTTATTTTATATTGAGTTTGATAAATATTGAATAAAAGTGAATTTTTTTGGCAAAGTATTCTAAAGGTAGTAATTCGAATTAAATCCATGAGGTCTCATTTAAAAAAGGTCTTTATGCCATCAGCATTTGGCAGTGCGTGCTACTGCAACTTATCATGAAACGTATCATTCCTACTGATGAAAATCTATTAAAATTCCAAAATTTCGGCTTGCCACTGGTCTCCTTCTTAAAAAATTGCTTAACCTGAAGAAAATTATTTATAACACCTGATCATTGGTTGTAGTAGTTAACTTACTTTTCAAATTGCTTGCACTCAGCTCTCCAAAGAACCAGAGCTTTGACCAAAGGTATGGGAAAAACGAATGGGCTAACTTTATTTGTTCTAAATGTTGCTATAGTCTGATCTGCGAGCACGTAGAATTTTGTCTAATGACCCCAAGCTATCCATCCTTATCGCTCGCGCGTAATTATGTTGTTGTCGCGCTCGCACACTCACTGCGGGCGCCCGTCACACAGTCGCGATAGAAAAATAATTACGCGCGAGCGATAAGGATGGGTAGCTTGGGGTCATTGGACAAAATTCTACGTGCTCACAGACCGGGCTTTAGATGTGTCTAGATTTTAAGCTCTTTCCATTGGCTGTGTTTGGCTAAATACCCACTTTTTCTTGAAATTAATGTTATCTTAATAGTTTAGGGAACAGAATTAGTGATTTTAGGAATTAGGAACTGTTTTAGAGAATAGAACCGTAAGCTAGGTGTAAAAACGAGTAAATTTTGTATTTTAGTTTACAAAAATCTAGTTTTAGAGAACAGTTGTATCTCAAAATTAGTTTACAGTGATGTCCAAGTCTAGTGACATTATAATAGATTAGAATCTATAATCAAATCAGGATTAGATACAGAGTAGGTAACTGTTCGTTAGTCAATTTTGAATAATGTTCGATGATTCGATACTACTTACTTATCATTTACTTTATCTACCTTTCTATTGATTCTCCGTTTTGCGCTTTCTACTTAATGACTAGCCTTTTACTTTTTGCATGTGCTATTAGCCTTAAATATTTTTGTTAATTTATTGTGATGAGGACCATCTGGTGTAGAGGTCCATGCTCTTGCAAAAACATCAGCAGCAGCTGCGTTTACAGCTCGCAAATGACAAACCTGTGCATTTGATTATACACTGACATGATTACCAATAAGTGCAGCAAATCTTGGCTGAAAAATGTTAGTGTAATTAATAAAATTTTATGCAATTTCCTTTCTTCAATAATATGCCTCTGCACATCTCTGCATAACGGCTATTGGCTATGTGGACGTGTCTAAAAAATCCTACACGCGCAAGATTAACGCCCGTATTCACAAACGATGCTTTTCTTAAGCGAAGAAGCAAATCGAACGCACAGCGTTGAATAGAGCTCTGTGATTGATTCGCGTGTCTCACTGTGAGATCTCATAATAATGTTTGTGAATACGGGCGTAACGCACGCACCAGTAACACACCTTCTGTCCTCCAGCTCGCATACCAATGAGTACCTCCGGGAGGCTCGTGAGGAGGAATGCAGTGGGGGCAGCGCCGCGTCACACCCTAGACAGCTGCAGCCCCATAAACTGAATGAGAGGGAGAGGAAGCAAGCTGCTTTGCCGATACTCATCTTTGGATACCCTCTGGTAAGCCATAAGGTCGACCTGAAAGTAGAGACCACGGTACATCAAGGGAAACAATGTGGCATCTAAGCAGTGGTGATAGTTGCTATTTTTCAACAAACATTTTAGTCCGATAGATCTGCTGCCGTCTCTACCATTGCTAACCTTTAAAAATACCATCACGTAAAATTTAAAGCAACATCTAAACAACATATCCCGAATCTGCCACCGTTCCACAAACTAAGTAGTTCCTCATTGTTATTTTGGACCGTTGCCTTTCTATACAGGGTGTTAGGTAAATGGGTATATGAGCCGACACTAGCCCATGTTAACATGGGCATATAAATGGTATGGTGAAGTCAGTAAATTAATACCATCATTTTTATTATTTTAATTTTCATATAAATCGGATGTTATAAAATTTATTTTGTATGAAAATAAAAAAAAAAAATGACGATATCAAATTTCTGACTATTTATATGCCCATGTTAACATGGGCTAGTGTCGGCTCATATACCCATTTACCTAACACCCTGTATACCCAGGCTTTCCACTTTGTTAACCACCTACAGGCCAAGCTTGATCCGTCTTTCTTTTTTTGTCTTGTGTCACAGAATAAGTAATAGTACAGGTACAGAAGGATTACTCCGCAAGACGATTTAAATAAATGCGAGACTTGCTGCGACCTGCGACGCGATACAGTGGAATTCAGCTCGCACAGCACTACGTACCTACAATTTTATTCACCTACAAGTTTTGTCTCTTTCTATCGCGTGTCTCTGAACTCTTCTTACGCTGTTAGGGTTGCTGTCTAATGAAAAAAATAATTAATCTACTTATATGTCATGAGGTACGTACCTCATGACACGTATGTATGTAAGTACGCATTCATTATGGAAAACCTTGGGAGAGGCCTTTGTCCAGCAGTGGACGTCATTTGGCTGAAACGAACGAACGCATTCTAAGCAGTAGTCATGGTAGGTTAGCTTCCTATACTATCCTAAGAATTATTGATTACCTACATGGCCAACATACCTTTCAGCATCTTTGGGAAGCGAAAAAAAAGATAAATCCGGTAGATTTCTTTTCGAATTTAAACACCCGAACGCCGCACAATATTTCTTTCTCTTTATGTCCATTTTTAAATAATACTTCGATCATAGAATTAGGTACTACAACGCACGCCAGCGTCCTGACGGGCGCGCGCGTGACACTCGTCTGATATAATACCCGCCGGCGCGGCGGGGCGCTTCGCTGTAGGTAATTATCGGATGTACCGCGCGGAGTGAGCCAGGCCTGCTTGTGTGTTCTATCTTCTATCTCTATCTATTGATGATGATTAACTACTAATGGCGCATTTCCCTTCCCAGGTAGAGAAGTTCTACTCCAAGAACTACCTAGACAAAGAAGAAGGCCTAGCGCGCCTTCGGGCGGAACTGACGTCACCATCCAATGGAAGCACCAAGACGTCTCCCAACAAGACGGCCCGAGCAGCTGCCCTGCTGCTTCAGAGGACCTTGAGGGATAAGGTCTTCTCTGTGTACAGTCAGGCCAATGAGGTGGTCAGGGTGCTGTTCCAAGACTTCGTTCCTGACAGGTGAGGTGTACTTTTGTTAATTAAACTTTTTGGGCAGGACTCAGGTAGGTATATGTCACCATCCAATGGGAGCACCAAGACGTCTCCCAACAAAACGGCCCGTGCGGCTGCCCTGCTGCTTTCATATAATTTAGCTTTTTCAACGAGAATCTAATTTTGGTGAGTCAATTTTGGTGTTTTTGGTGGTGCACCAAAGCATTTTTAACCGACTTAACTCCGTCAATTGTGAACCGATTTTCAAAATTCTTTTTTTGTTCTATAGGGTACACTTATGTGGTGGTCCCATTGTCACCAAGTCAGGATCTGATGATGGGATCCTAGGGAAATCGAGAGTAAACCTCAAATTTTGTAGGAATGCAATACGTTTTCTAAAGTTATTCAAGTAGTCATCATCTAATGTTGATGAGGTGATGATGGAAGGTAAAACTCCTTAACGCTTAGGAGTTGGAGGATAATTCTTTAAATATTTTAGGTAGGTATGTACATACAGTTGTATTATTTCAGGTATTTAAGATGAGCTGATGATGAAAGGTCAAACAACATAAGTTAGGAGTTAGATGATACTCAATACTCATTTGTTGATACATACATTGACACATGATACATTGATACTTTTTAGTTGCCGATATTTAAAGTAGGGAGCCTGTATTTTGCAAGGAAGATTATTTACACTTGGATTGTGATTAAGACTATAATTTTCCATTACAAAATGGAAAATTATAGTCTTAATCACATTAAACATAGGTACTGTGTGTGTTCAGTGACAATAACAAGGACTAATCAACTAAAAAGCATGAAAAAAAATAATTTTAACAAAAAAATTAAAACCGACACCAACAATCACTTACAAGTAGAAAATAAGTACGTCGTTATTTATTTATTAGGACAATATACCATGATTAATATTTTTGGAGTCGGTGCTGGTAAATTTAAAACCATTTCTTGAGCTTGGCACTAAGATATGACCGACTGACAGCATATTTTCTAATTTTGGTGCTTTAATATAAATTTTGGTGTTCACTTAATTTTGGTGTAAGGAAAATCTAAAAAACTACTGGACAAAATGTAATGTCTTAATCATTTTAGAAACAGTATAAGTTTCCAATAAATTTGATCTATAATTAAAGAATAAAAATACACAAATAACAATTTCCACCAAAATTAGGCAAAAATATGCACTTGTTGAAATTCACCCTTTTATTAGCGTAGTAAAAATAAATATAGCAGATAACATGACCCTGTGATGCATCTTCTGAACGTAAGGCGGTTATTATCACACTGCGCCGCGCTCCGCCGCGCCGAGCGCGTTATTTTCATATAAAAAATCACGCGCGCGGACGCGTTGTCAGTGTGAAGTGCCGCGCGTGTTTTCTATACAAACTGAGGTACTTGCATACAATGATTAGATCTGTGGCCCCGCGCTCTGCGGCGGAGCGCGGCGCAGTGTGATAACCGCCTTAAACTCAAAAAATTGAAATATGAAGATGTCAGGAGTTCTTAAAATGGCACCACTACTAGGAATGATCTCTACGGCTCTACCAACCAACAACATGACACCGCTTATCCCTATCATATTGATTTTAGACTGCATCATACCCAATTTTAACTTGAATTTCTAACAATCTTTGTTCCATATCTTCAAGAACTCTCCTTTGCGAACGAGAATACCATCAGACTTATTTTTGTATAAAAAAGAAACTTAAAAGTTTACCACGCATTTGGAAGATAGTATTATCCTATGCTTACACTAGTACTCTTGCAGGAGCCTCCACATCATCCCGCAACAACTGGTCCGTCCGGTGGCCGCGTCCATGCACCCTCGCCTGGCGCTCTCCCGGCTACAAATGCTGGAACAACTGCTGCTCAGCCACGGGATATCCACTGACAAGAACAGGTACAGAAATAGCACTTATTCAACTAGGTTCGTTCGTTTGTTCGTTTCAGCCAATTGACATCCGCTGCTGGACAAAGGCCTCCCCCAAGGTTTTCCACAATGAACGGCAATCAAGTGGCGTGGGCGGGGCACATAGCTCGTACAGACGATGGCCGTTGGGGCAGAAAAGTTCTCGAGTGGCGACCACGGGCTGGAAGACGTAACATGAGCAGGCGTCCTACTAGGTGGACCGACGACCTGGTTAAGGTCACGGCAAGAACCTGGATGCAGGCAGCGCAGGATTCATTTCATACATATGCCAGAGTATAAAAATGAATAATAATCTCGTTACGGGTTTAATGATAGTTTAACTTTTCCCCGGGACAAACTTGACCTTCACTGGTTGGGTTATTGGCGGTCAAGCTGTGGATCCTGGCTACATAGAAGTTGCAGCGGTGGGAACGAGAGGTGGGAATACTTAGTCCCGTTCCTCGTAATTTTTATTTATTTTGAATTTTGCACAGAAACGAAGTACAAAAGATAAAAACCTCCATAGTATATCCTGATTTGGTCAGTTCTGGTTAAAAAAGAGAATACAAATGTTCCCAAATCCTGGAAGAAAAATGGGAAAGAAAAACAAATTTTAGGGGACACCCGGATTTGAACCGGGGACCTACCGATCTGCAGTCGGTTGCTCTGCCACTGAGCTATACCCCCTTTGAGTACTGTGACGAAAATAAGATACAGATTCGACATTTCACTTGTAGTTACTGGGGATGGTATGTTTTCTGCAGCGGAAGCGGCTGCTATGATGCTGGTATTCTGTTGATAGCGTGTGTCATCATCATTTTAAATTTTTATTGAAATTATACGCAGTGATATTACATAGTATGACGCACAAATGATTGAGTATGTGCCGCTCTCGGTAATATTCTTCAGGTCCAGAGAATTTCTGCTTTTCTCAGATTTTCAGGATCAGGAATATTTCCGGCAACTGCCTTTCATTAGCTCGTCATGCTCTAACCCAGTGGTTTGCCATGTGTCACTTTTGTCTGAATTCCTTCAACCCTGGGATTTGCTGTTGTGGCCTTACGGTGCGTCTGCTATGTTACTGGCTCCGTACACTTGCTTTCTTTTTGATGTAGATACATAGGTAGTTATGCAGAGACTAATTCCATAACAACATTACGGAAACGTGACCGGATTATTTCCGATTGGGGGATTGATATACCCTCAAGAATGGTGCTATTTAATCATTCCAGCGGCCTAACCGTCCGCCGCCTAGCAGAATGCGGCGCAGCAGGCGCGCAGCACGCAGCAGGCGCAGTGCGCGCAGCAGCGGAGCGCGTGCTTCTAGCAGCATACGCGCGTTCCACGCGCGTGGTGCTCTCTCTATTTTAATTCGATAAGAACTTTATAGGAATGCGATTGGGAACAGCACTGCACACTTTTATGTATAGGGCGTCTTCCATTAGTTCGTCACGTGTAGTGTTACGACTGTTACGAGTGCTCAGACCCTGAGAGGTAGTGATTCCAGTGGCCTAGAAATGCCTCCCCTAGAAGATCTTTCATCGGCACGTCATGTTGTATCTGATGAATCAATCCCTTTACCCTGGTGTTCCAGTGGCCTCACATTCCGCCGCCTAGCCGAATGCCGCCGGATCACGTGCTCCTAGCAGCGTACGCGCGTTCCCCGCGCGTGGTGCGCGCGCAACTCCTTTATGATGACGCACTTTCATCCTCTATTTTTATCTGATAATGAATGCGATAGGAATAGTATCAATTTAGGGAATGTTCTTTGGCATAGCACATGCACACTTGTAGGTGTATTTTCTGTGCAGCAGTCTGACTGACAGTTGACAGTGCATTTTCCATTACTTCGGGACGTATTGTGGTTGTGTGACGTGAGCTTTGTCTAACCCTGTGGTGTGGTGGTTCCAGCGGCCTCACAGTCCGCCGCCTAGCAGAATGCGGCGCAGCAGGCGCGCAGCACGCAGCAGGCGCAGTGCGCGCAGCAGCGGAGCGCGTGCTACTAGCAGCATACGCGCGTTTCCCGCGCGTGGTGCTCTCCCTCTATTTTAATTTGATAAGAACATTATAGGAATGCGATTGGGAACAGCACTGCACACTTTTATGTATAGGGCGTCTTCCATTAGCTCGTCACGTGTAGTGTTACGAGTGCTCAGACCCTCAGAGGTAGTGATTCGAGTGGCCTAGAAATGCCTCCCCTAGAAGACCTTCCATCGGCACGTCATGTTGTGTCTGATGAGTCCTCTGGTGTTCCAGCGGCCTCACAGTCCGCCGCCTAGCCGAATGCGGCGCAGCAGGCGCACAGCACGCAGCAGGCGCAGTGCGCGCGGCAGCGGAGCGCGTGCTCCTAGCAGCATACGCGCGTTCCCCGCGCGTGGTGCGCGCGCAACTCCCGCCTGACGACGCCGTCACACGTAGAAACCTCATCTACCGGCATCTGTTCCAGCAGTTCGATAGAATTGACATGCAGGTACGTTACTTCGCGATATTTTCCTAAATTAAGTTAAGTTAAATTGTTTTTAATTACCTAAATGTTATTCTGAGCTTTGTTACGTCTTGTTTGAATAGTGTAATTGGTACTACCGTAATTAGTAGGGAATTTAGTGCAAGAACCCCTCCACTTTGGTATAGAAGGCTCATTTTTGCAACAGTGGTTCTTTGGGTGCTCCTGAGTGGATTTCCGTCGGTAGACATCGGGAGCCCCCCCTGTGGTAGCAGGGGGAGGGGGGGCAAGTTTCCTTCCGCCGCGCTTCACTTTAAGGCCCATATCTTCAAAACTATGGGTACTAGGGCAAGTGTGGTATCATTTTCGGATAATTAAAGGATGGCGAATTCATTTCTAGAACAACCTTTTTGCCTTTTCATACAAAAAAATTGAAATATTGAGTAAAATTCACAAAAACCAAAAAGTATTTTTTTAAATAAACGTCGTTTACTTTTAAACCACTGGAGATAATCTAATAAAAAAAATATGACCTGAAAGCTACATTTATCAGGATTATAAAAATATAACATTGTATGGTACTTTTTTCGCAAAAAGTAGGTGAAAAAAATTTTTTCTTCAGGACACAGCGGGCGAATTTTATTGCGCATCGGAAAAAAATATTTATTTTATCCATGAATTCATACTATTTGGTTCATAAGCAAGCAAGGATTATTATTTTAGAATTTATTTAGAGTTGCTGGCACATCAATCTACCATAATTTGTATTTTTTCGTCAATTGATTTTGAACTCTATGTGTGAGACATAAGGTTGAAAATAGCTTAAATACATTTTAATATTGAAAATATCATAAGAAGAAAGCACTATATAAAGAACTTTAATTTGTCTAAACGTCTTAATGATTATTATTATTTTAATTAACACTTTTATTTCTACATACAATTGTACCAGTGATTTAACGGAAAGGTAAGTGTGAGGAAAATGAGGTTTCACAATCATATAGTACGGGAGATATTTTAGCACAAAGGTTACGGCTGTGACCGTTTTAGTTGTTTTTTTCAGACAGCACCAGCTTCTGCACTACTTCTTACACTTACATCTTACCATTTCCAGGCAAGCTTCGGCAGCTACGGGGTAACCGGTCCATGTAGGCTCCATCTTGCTATCGGCTCTGGTCCACCCCCAACCAGTCGGGTAAAGGGAAGACTGAGTCGGTTGCTTGCAACTAATTCTATACGCGAACCCCTTGGATTGATCTAATAAGTAAGTGGATAGATCTTGAACAAGGGATGACTAAAAAGAGGACCAAAATCCCAACAGAACTGCCTAATCTGGTTTACTGATAGCTCAAAGTCACGAAGACAAAGAACGCCCCGGGTGCCAAGCATCAGAGGGTGACACATGTCGCACAGATTAGTACTCACTGGCGCATCTGCGCCGCAAGATCATAGCAAGTCTGCGGTCTATGTCATTGTCATTCAATCTTGGAATCGGTAGGTAACCCCAAAATCGTGGGGGTTACCAGAGGGTGCCTTAGGACTTACGCCGCCACTGTAAAGATGGCCTTGGGAACGGGAACGGGCGTCTACTGTAAACACTTCGAACATAGTGAACGCTTAAGGAGGTTTGCTACAGTGTTTCAAGCTTAATTCTACGCTATGATATGTGTGCACTAAAGAACAGGGGTGTAAAAAACGCAATATTTACATCCTGATCCACAGCCAGGCAGCACTCAAACAAAAAGCCATCGCCTCAGTGAAGGTTGAGTCTAGAATTATTCTAGATAGATGAACAAACTCGGAAGGCATGAAAGTGTCCCTGATGTGGGATGCCTGGACATACACGGATCAAATGCAATGGGAGAGCCGACAGTCTAGCGAAACTAGGGTCAGAGGCGATACTTACCTTTATCTAACGGCATACCTCATGGCCATAATATGGCCATATCCAAGAAGCACAGTGCTAAATGGAAAAGCTCCAACGATATAAGATAAACCTCTCCAAATCATTCCTAAAGGGAAACACAAGGTCATGGAGAAAACTCATTAAGCGGAAATAAAACTGGGCATTATGGAACGAACCACATGTCCCACAAAATAGGCCTAACAACAGAAGACAGCTCTCGAGCATGTGGAATACATGTGGGGTCCATGAATCAATACTGTAAGGATGGGTCTGCTTGGGTCAGCATATCCGGCATCAGAAGACTTAGAAGGCAGACGCTTAATTCACCTAATGGATAGGATTTTTTTGGATGATAGGGAATAAAAAAACGGAGCATAAAGATCCTAATAGGTCGCTGTAGACTACGCTTAGACCTAGCTTAGCTTAGGCCCTACATAAGATAACCCAGACAGCAGCAGCAGCTTTGTATCAGCCTTGGCTACTGGCAGTATATCAAGGGATTCGCGTATAGGATCAGGTGCAAGCAACCGACTCGAGTCTTCCCTTTACCCGACTGGTTGGGGGTGGACCAGAGTNACATTTTGTCCAGTAGTTTTTTAGATTTTCCTTACACCAAAATTAAGTGAACACCAAAATTTATATTAAAGCACCAAAATTAGAAAATATGCTGTCAGTCGGTCATATCTTAGTGCCAAGCTCAAGAAATGGTTTTAAATTTACCAGCACCGACTCCAAAAATATTAATCATGGTATATTGTCCTAATAAATAAATAACGACGTACTTATTTTCTACTTGTAAGTGATTGTTGGTGTCGGTTTTAATTTTTTTGTTAAAATTATTTTTTTTCATGCTTTTTAGTTGATTAGTCCTTGTTATTGTCACTGAACACACACAGTACCTATGTTTAATGTGATTAAGACTATAATTTTCCATTTTGTAATGGAAAATTATAGTCTTAATCACAATCCAAGTGTAAATAATCTTCCTTGCAAAATANCATTCAGTCACTCACTCACTCACCTCATTCACTAACTTTCTTGGCTCACTCGCTCACTAACTATCTTTTCTCACTCACTTGCTAAGTTACTCACTCACTCACTCATTCACTCACTCACCCACGTCTCCCTGTGCGTGATATGCTACGAAGAAGTGCAGTGCTACCCCACCAACCAGACCTTCTGGCCGCCGTGCTGTGCGAGGGACAAGTGGTTCCACAGATCCTGTCTGCAGGTCAGTGCCGCACTCGGTCGCTCACTCACTCACTTGGTTCACTCATTCACTCCCTTACTCACTCATCTCATTCACTAAGTTTCTTGGCTCACTCGCTCACTAAATTACTTGGCTCACTCACTCGCTCACTTAATTACTTGGCTCACTCACTTGCTCACTAACTTACTTCATTCACGCCCTTACTCACTCACTCACCTCATTCACTAACTTTCTTGGCTCACTCGCTCACTAACTTACTTGGCTCACTCACTTGCTCTCTAACTTACTTCATTCACGCCCTTACTCACTCACTCACCTCATTCGCTAACTTTCTTGGCTCACTCGCTCACTAACTTACTTGGCTCACTCACTCGCTCACTAAATTACTTGGCTCACTCACTTGCTCACTAACTTACTTGGCTCACTCACTCGCTCACTAAATTACTTGGCTCACTCACTTGCTCACTAACTTACTTCATTCACGCCCTTACTCACTCACTCACCTCATTCACTAACTTTCTTGGCTCACTCGCACATTAACTTACTTGGCTCACTCACTCGTTCGCTAACTTACTTGGTTCACTCACTAACTTACATGGCTCTCACTATTCGGTCACACATCGGTTCAGCAGTCGCTAAGGGCTAACGACCTTCAACCGCAGACAACGGTTCTATAGGTCTTGTCACTGGAACTCACTCGTTACTCATAATTTACTTGGCTCACTCACTCGTTCGTTACCTTACTTGGTTCACTCACTAACTTATTTGGCTCACTCACTCACTCCGTTACTCACTCTCTCACCTCATTCACTAACTTACTTGGCTCACTCACTCGCTCACTAACTTGTTCACTCACTCACTCACTTATTCACTCACCTCATTCACTAACTTACTTGGCTTGGAACGTCTTAATCCTTCAAGGCCCGCGAATCTAGACACAATAGTTAATCAATTGTTATGACATTAATGAATGCCGTCTGGGACTCAAGCGGTTAATAGAATATTATTTTTTTAAAAGTTTTTTAATATTCATTTTTGATTTGTTTCGCAGAGAATGGCGCTAAGTGCGGGCATGCACTACCTCAAGTGTCCTCTCTGCAACGATAAGGAAAACTTCTACCAAGCCGTCATTAGTCAGGGATACTATGTGCCTGACAGGTAAGTCATATCTAAAAATAAAGATAAATTAGTTAATATCAATTGGGTATTTGACACCATTCCCCAATAATTCTAAAGCACAACCTTTTTAAAAAGACACTTCTTTCTGGTCTTTAATTACCTGTAAATTAAGATTTTTGGTTGCATTGTAATTGATAAAAGTAGTTTCATTGAGTTGACAAAATTGTGACGTCACATGCTAGTATTGCCATACAAAATCTATGGGAGAGTCTCGTTTTGACAGTTTTAAAAAGTACGTCAATTGATTGGTGGTGTCAAATACCCTATTTTATAACCTCTATAAAAAGTTAATATTTACTAGCCCAAGCAGGCCTGTTCATATCCCTGAGTAGGCATCGAAAACAAAACACGCACGGCTTAGTCTCCTGGGATATTTAATCCACGTACCATCGGCAACAGTGTTAACTATCCATTGCCTGTCATGTCGTCTCGTTCTATCGTAAAGAATCACCATTTGATGAGAGCGAGAGCAAAACGGAAATGGATAGTTAACAGTGTGGCCGTGTGTACGCGTGCGTATTCCTCACCCATTTTAAGAATTATTCGCAATGGAAAGAAAAAAAATACGAGTGTGGTGCGCTAGATGGCAACACAGTAGCTTGTAGCAGTCAGCCCTATCGCATCGGCACAGTACCGATCATTGAGGTATACAAACGAAACGGTGCTCGACTTTCCAGCCAACGCCCGCATTCACAAACATTACTATGAGGTCTCACAGTGCGCGTCGCCGCACAGGATGACACACGAACCAATCACAGAGCTCTATTCAACGCTGTGCGTTCGATTTGCTGTTCCATTTAAGCAAGCATCGTTTGTAAGGTCTACCTTTTTCTTTTTTTATTATTATTTACTATATTTTGACGTTCATAAGTGCCACTTGTGGTCTAAACTGAATAAATATTTTTGATTTTGTGAATACGGGCGTGAATGACCTGTTCACTTCTTGAATCATGAAAAAATTATTCTGTTGCACGCCAATATGCTATGATGTAGCTGAACAACATTTTATTGAATGACCTGTATGTACCATCGGCAACAGTGTTAACTGCCCATTGCCAGTCATGTCATCTCGTTCTATCGCAAAGAATCACCATTTGATTAGAGCGAGAGCCAAAACGGAAATGGATAGTTAACAGTGTGGCCGTGTGTACTTAGCTACAATAAAAATATTTGATTTGAATTGACTATGATGATGTTTGCAGAGATGCAGCGTGGGAGTTAGAACAAAATGCGTTTGCTGAAATATACGAGCGGGAACTGACCTGCAGCTTGCCAGAATGCCTCTGTCCGCTAGGCAGGGACCACGACTCCGATAACGGGTGAGATTGTGCTTTTTTTTTTCAATTGTAGGTCTAGCTGCTTTTTCTATTTATTTATATTAACCGGCAGACAGTGGTGACTGAGTTTGTTGCGGCGCTTCTTCTCAGCACTTGCCAAATGTTGGTCTCGAAGCGCTGGTGGGGTAAAAAGATTATGAGACATGTAGAGGCTCCTTAAGAGCAGAATGACGATTTGTAAGAACTATTTATTAGTCTAAACAAATAAAGAAATTTTGACTTTGACTTTGACTAACGCTTAATTCAATCAGTGCCTGAGGTATGGGAGCGGCGCGGGAGGGTGTTTTACGTCAAACGCATTCGTTATCGACCGCGTTAAAAAATATTATGAAAATTTTAGTTCTTGAAAGTTTCCGCTAGGGGCGCTGTACAATCTTACTAATATTATAAATGCGAAAGTTTAGATGTCTGGATGTTTGTTACTCTTTCACGCCAAAACTACTGAACGGATTTTGATGAAACTTTACAGTATTATTGTTTATAACCCAGAATAACATACAGGCTATAATTTATATGACGATCTGTGACAGACTAAATTTCACGCGGGTGAAGCCGCGGGCAAAAGCTAGTCCATCATATATTTAATGTCACTTTTTTACGCAGTCTTGTTTGGCCCCGGCACATCTCTTCTCCGCTCAAACCACTTCCATCAAAGCGGGGCGGAGAGATGTGGAAATAATTAAATCTGATTGTTTATTAAAAACACATCTCTGCTCCGCTCCACTTTGGTGAAAACCGGGTCTTAAAGCGTTTTTTAAAATAATATTTTTTTGTGAATCTAAGTCAAAGGTGACTGACTTACTAACTGACTGACTGACATAGTGATCTATCAACGTACAGCCCAAACCACTGGACGGATCGGGCTGAAAGGCATGCAGGTAAATGTTATGACGTAGGCATCCGCTACGAAAGGATTATACGAAAAAACGGGGTCCACGCGTACGAAGTCGCGGGCGGCTGCTAGTACATAAATATATTACTAACTAGCTGACCCGGCGAACTTTGTTCCGCCTTAATGGCAAAAAATAAGCAGACTTTTTTTTTATTTCGAACGGGATAAAAAGTATCCTATGTCCTTCTCCTGGCTCTAAACTACCTCTCTGACAATTTTCAGCTAAATCGGTTCAGCCGTTCTTGAGTTATAAGTGGAGTAACTAACACGACTTTCTTTTATACAGGGTGTTAGGTAAATGGGTATATGAGCCGACACTAGCCCATGTTAACATGGGCATATAAATGGTATGGTGAAGTCAGAAAATTGATATCCTCATTTTAATTATTTTAATTTTCATACAAATCGGATTTTATAAAATTTATTTTGTATGAAAATTAAAAAAAATAAAATGATGATATCAAATTTNGATATCCTCATTTTAATTATTTTAATTTTCATACAAATCGGATTTTATAAAATTTATTTTGTATGAAAATTAAAAAAAATAAAATGATGATATCAAATTTCTGACTTCACCATACCATTTATATGCCCATGTTAACATAGGCTAGTGTCGGCTCATATACCCATTTACCTAACACCCTGTATAGATAATCCCGCTAACCCCACGTGGAAGTTGAACGGATCGAACCCGCGTTCCTCGGATCACGAGTCGGCCAGTCCGACCCCTTCACCGTTCGGCTATCGTCGCTTCACTCTTTGTTGAAAATAATTGTTTTTTGCAGGCCATGGGACATCAAACTCTGCCTGCTATGCGGCAGCGTTTGCGCGCACGCACAGTGCTTGGTAGCGAGCGGTGACGGCGGGCGATACGTTTGCGTTACGTGCCGCCCTGCTGCACCTGGAGACGTCGAGTCGCTCGCCGCCGCCGTGGATAAAGGTGGGTAGATACAGGGTGGCGCTAGAGTGGATCAAACGGAAGATACAGGGTGTTGCTTTAGGTATGGACCAAATGAAACGGATTCATTCTACTGCTCCAGTGTGAAAACTATTTCTAAGGAGCTTCAAATGTCATTGTCAGTCCCTCTAGATGAGTGGCAAAACGTGAAGCTAGTATTCAGGTATTCAGCTCACCTCCTAGACAAGTTACAAAAAGTGACAGTTTTAATTTCGAAATCGCTTCGCTTAGACGATTTTTATGCAGAGTGTATTCGTTCCGCGAAGCGATTTCGAATTTAAAACTTTCACTTTTTGTAACTTGTCTAGGAGGTGAGCTGATTACCCCTAGACAAGTTGTTAAAAGTGACATTTGCAATTTCAAAATCGCTTCGTTTCGGCAATTTGTGTACGTACGTAGTTACGACACTCGATTTCGAAGTTAAAATTCACTTTTGTCTAAACGTCAAGTCATTTAGGTCAATGAAAGATACGTCAAAAGAACACTAGTTAGCTTCTGCCCGCGTCCTGGCTTAGCGCCCACAAGCACCCACGTCGCTGTGCCTGCTATGCGGCAGCGTATGCGCGCACGCACAGTGCTTGGTAGCGAGCGGTGACGGCGGGCGATACGTTTGCGTTACGTGCCGCCCTGCTGCGCCCGGAGACGTCGAGTCGCTCGCCGCCGCCGTGGACAAAGGTGGGTAGATAGATAATAATATAAATAAATATCCTTGGACATTTTACACTGCGCTTCTAGTCCCAAACTAAGCAAAGCTTGTACTATGGGTACTAGACAACGGATATAAACATACATAACCCCCTAGGCCAGAAGCTAGGTATGACTTGTCCCCTCCCCCCTCCTAGGCCAGAAGCTGTGTATGACTTGAACCCTCCCCCCTCCTAGGCCAGAAGCTAGGTATAACTTGAACCCTCCCTNGAATTAGCGGGAAAATCCTTTTGTATGAAAAATCTAAACCGCTTAAGCTAGACGCTTGAAATTTGGCATGGTGGTACCTTAGTAAACTTTAAGGTTAGTTACGACAGGATATTAGAAAATTCCCACGGGAACGGGAGTTAGTGGGAAAAAAACATTTGTATGAAAAAATCTAAGCCGCGTAAGATAGACTCTTGAAATTTGGCATGCAGGTACCTTAGTAAACTTAAAGCTTAGTTACAACAGGATATTGCAAAATTCCCACGGGAACGGGAGTTAGCGGAAAAAAATATTTGTATGAAAAAATCTGAACCGCGTAAGATAGATGAAGGGGGGGGGGGGAACGAGATTCACGCGTACGAAGTCGCGGGCGGCCGCTAGTTCATGAATAAATAAATAAATAAATTTATTTTTATACTGGTCACTGTTATGTGTACAAATATCTTGTCTTTGCGATGATGCACTAAAGGGTAGTTCCCTTGAATTGAAGACTATGGTCCATATGAAAATATTTCAAGCATTCTATTGCCAATTTTGTTGCGAGATAATTAATTAACGAACTATTCATTAACGAAGCTGTCGACAATATCTACTAACTACTTGTGTATTATGTTTTCCCTTTTTGCTAAGACTCTTTCTAAATAATATTTAGGAACTCGAATGGATAAACAGTTAAAAGCATAAAACTTTTTATAAACAAGTTTTAATACACAAGATCATGATATTATTATCGTCTCGCTTGCCCGTACGTTTCAGTGACGCTGTGGCACTTTACTGAGACCTTTCCAGCTTTTTAAACCCTGACTACGACTTCTCATTTTCCTCAGTAATTCTCCGCTTTGCAGAAAATGCTCAACCAGGCTCCGACAGAAGAACAGCTGTTGAACGGAGACCAGTCGATAGCGGATTCATCTCTGGAAACCGCCAGCGTCACTCAGTCCACCCGCAGTGGCACCACCAGCGGTATGACCGCGTCTTTCGGGATGTCTTCTTCAGTCGGCGCCACTTCTTCTTACAGCTTGAAGTCTATGGCGTCTTCTGGTAAGACTTTCACTTAGTTTGGTATATCTTTACTATCAAAATCTTTGGCTTTGTATATTTTATACTGATTTTTACAGTTTTTCCTAGATGCTGCCATGGACCTATAATAGGTCCATGGATGCTGCTATATGCCCGATAGTTCAAAAGGGCGCATTTAGCACCAAGTCACAACGGAGATAAAAAAGTTTTTAATAATTTAAATGGTTAATTCTTAGATGTCCTTGAGTTTAACTTATATCCGAAAAAAATGTTAGATGCATCTTTTCAACTATCAGGGGCAGTGATGGTCAAGTCTTAGACGAATAATTCGTCCAAGGGTCAAGTAATATGTCCAATTCTTTTAGGTATTACCTAGATTTAAAAAATATACAAAAATTAAGTACCTAGGTATACCTTTCCTAGGAGGAACTCTAGCACCTTCAAGCCTCAGCGGAAGCTACACAACATCCAGAACGAAAAGCAGCCTCAAGAAATCCCCTACAAAGCGGTACACCCCTTCAAGAACTGCGAAAGACTTCTCCAACTACCCTGGGTACAACAAACTAAGGCTGGACAGCGCCGTCAGTCCGAAGCACTCGCCGCGGTCTACAGTCAGCGCTTCTGAGAAGGTAAGGGTCAGTAGCTTCTGCTTCTATCATGAGGGTTGTTATTGTAACTAACTGGGGTCCCTGCAGCCTGGTTTCAAACTTTTTGGACAGTCATAGCTAGTATTTGATACGATTAGATCGGACAGATAATGGCTGTTAAGCTTAAGGTCACGTTAGTAAGTAATTCGAGGCTGGTATTTCCTGGCTAAACCACGAACAAATACGCATTATACATTAAATTGACGCAGTCACCCACACGAACCAATCACAGAGCTCTATTCAACGCTGTGCGTTCGATTTGCTGCCTCACATAAGCAAGCATCATTTGTGAATACGGACGTTAGCCATTCTCATCATCCGTGACTGCTAAGCTAAATAAGAAAATATCAGTTTCAGAATCCAATCTCACTCTATTTACAACACTCATCATTTTCTATTCCAGGTGCACTTTCAAGAGGGTCAAACCTCCGAGGTGGTCCTCCGACGCGCCAGCCGCAACGCGGAGAACCGGCACTCCATGATCCACTACGACCACGAGCCCTCCAAGCCACAGCTCAAGGAACGCCCCGTCACGGTCTACGAGCCACTGCACATAGATTACAGGGACTCTCCTACGTTAGGTGAGTCCAAGGTACACTCCATGATCCACTACGACCACGAGTCCTCTAAGCTACAGCTCAAGGAACGCCCCGTCACGGTCTACGAGCCACTGCACATAGATTACAGGGACTCTCCTACGTTAGGTGAGTCCAAGGTACACTCCATGATCCACTAAGACCACGAGCCCTCCAAGCCGCAGCTGAAGGAACGCCCCGTCACGGTCTACGAGCCACTGCACATAGATTACAGGGACTCTCCTACGTTAGGTGAGTCCAAGGTACACTCCATGATCCACTACGACCACGAGCCCTTCAAGCCACAGCTGAAGGAACGCCCCGTCACGGTCTACGAGCCATTGCATATAGATTACAGGGACTCTCCTACGTTAGGTGAGTCCAAGGTACACTCCATGATCCACTACGACCACGAGCCCTTCAAGCCACAGCTGAAGGAACGCCTCGTCACAGTCTACGAGCCACTGCACATAGATTACAGGGACTCTCCTACGTTAGGTAAGTTTACACAGAAACGGTACAGATAGGATTTTCTTTTAAGGGAAAGAAGAAGTTTTCTGGAGCGATGCACCATAAACTACTTATTTGACACATTGTCGATAGGATAAAACACTATGACCGCTAATCAAACCACAAGTTAAGTAATTGAATATAGTTGACCGAAAATCAGACTCAATGTTCAAAATCATTACTTATAATCACGTGCCACCGTATTTTACTTCTTCATGTCGTGTCGATAACAAACCTATATAGGTACAGTGTCACCCAAAACTCCGCTACAAGAGTACCGTATTTTACTTGATATGCTATCATTCGTACAACGATGCCCTTAGTAAACAAGTCCTTCTTTAGACAAGCAATTTTTTGACGCGGTAAAAGTGGTACTTTTGATTTGATGCCACTTTAAAGCGTCTTACATGACACTATTGTTCCGATACCCTTCGGAACCAGCATCCGTCTTCCTGATTAACCAGCCTTAAACTTGCAGGGTCCCCAAAAACCTCCAAAAACGACGTCCGCAGCATGGATTCTCTCCCAATGGACTCTCCCCAGATGTCCAGAAACGATCTGCGTTGCGACTCTGACTGTCGGAGTCTGGACTCGCCCAAGGTCAAAGCAGAGTACTTCAGGGAAAGCGTTCTGGAATCCCCGAAGCTGGTGGCTGGGTTACGGAATCTACACCTGGATGACCACAGCCAGATGGATGAGAGCGGGTATTATAGTCCTGGTAAGATTTTAAATTTAAATTTTCCTTCTAGCTAGAGTTTCGTATTTGTCCTTGGGAGAGCCAACCGGTTTAACTTACGCCCGTATACCTATAAACGATGCTTGTTTAAGTGAAGCAGCAAATAGAACGCACAACGTTGAATAGATCTATGATTGGTTCATAGGGTGAGTCTGTGCGTTCACGCGCACTGTGAGACCTCATACTAATGTTTGTGAATTTTGTCGTGATCATGTTCTTTGAAAGAAAGAAAGAAAGAAAAAATAATTATTTGGTATCAAAGATAACAATAAAGCTACCGTCTCTGATGACTTTCTTTCTTAATTAACCATTGCTCAAAGTTTTTTATTAATTTCGTGTCATTCTAACTGGCTAAATGAAGACTCGAGGGCTGCATCATGACGTTGTTTGATGTAGTTTCTGGTTCCTCTCTAAATGAAATAAAGTGTCCCAGTGTCCTCCTCTGGTACAATTCAAACCTAAGTTTAAAGAGAAACTGGTTTGCAGGAACCCATGAACCAAAGCAAACACAGGTCTTGGTGTCTTTGACTGTCTTCTGAATTCGATTCGATGATTCCAGCTTTGGTTTCTCATACTACAGGTAGGCGACAGCAAATGGTGAGCAGCGATCATCAGTACGAAGGCTACGACGGAGGCCCGGTGGATGTGCCCAGCGACAATACCCCAGAACCGATTTGCCAGTGAGTAAATGAATTAGTTGAGGGATGCCTTTGTGCCAGTGGACGTCATTTGGGTGAAACGAACAAACGCTCTCTTCAACAGATAGGCACTTCTTTGGACGAAACTTGGCCTTAACTATTATGTATGTTGTAGTGTGTGTAGCTCAGATCATAGAAGGGAATAGATGTGAAACGGGGGCGTGGCGCGTGTCTCCGCGATATGCCCAGAAACGAACATCGCCCGCGACGCCAGGTTAGTCGCGATTCAGTCGTACTGAGGAAATGTTCTTCGATATTGTTGGATAATGCGTCGTAACGTGCAATAACATAAGTGAAACGAAGAACTACAGGAACAATGAAGTCATTTACCACATGTAAGTATTGCAAATCCATTGGTATTTTGCTTATAAATAAAAAAAACTAAACATTTTTACGAACGAATTCAGTGCCGTGACATTTACTGCGATATCGAAATTAGTGGTGATAAAAATTCAAACACGTTGTACATTGACGATTTAGTTAGCAACCACTTTATGTCATGCGTAACTACTGCGCAATGTATTTTATTTCTTCCGATATCCACTGACGCGTGAAAATACACAGTACGGCCGCATGTGCCGGTCGTAACATAGTGCAGGGCTCGTGTTCTAATACGGTTTCCTATTATCGATAAATAGAAGTAAATTATTATTTTCTATTTTCTAATTTTGAATGAAAAAATCATGAGTTGCTTGCGATTTTTAAGTTTTTACAAAAACAATAACAATAGTAGAAGGGATTAGTAACTGTCAACTATGTAATTACTATAAGAGCTAGTTGAAAGCCTAATATAGGCATTATTTTTGATAAACATAGGCGGTACGAATTTCGCCATAATTAAAAAGTTAATGCGCGATAGTAGTTAATAATAATTACAGTGATCCTGTTATTATTATTAAAGTAAATAATAATATATTACCAATATTGTAAATACTGGTAAAAATCGCAAGTACCTACTTAACCCATGACTTTTCATACAAACTTTGTCAGTCTATAACTTCTATACTCCATCGATAACGACATTGAGCTTTGGTTGGGGTAAATTAATATAAGGTAACTTCATTTAGTCCCAATAATTGATTGTGAGTTTTTCGTCCATACAAAATGGAACTGACTCCTTTATGCAAAAATCGTTAAAGAACGTAATAATAACGTATAATAATAAAAAGGTTTTCATACAAGCATTTTTAAACCAATTTCGAGCCTTGCCCCCAGGATTTAAAGTATCGATATCTTATCGACTCCATTTTATCTTTCTTCTCTCTAATTGCTTTTTTCAAAGTGTGCGTCACGTCACGCGGCCATTGATTGGCCATAAGGCACGCCTTCTGGCCAATCACAGCACTTTTAAGCCGGTTGCACATGTTGTCGTAGACTCTCAGTCGCTTTGTTTTTACACAGTTGAATGTGTGTGTGGGAGCTGTGGTGGGGGAAATGTGGGGACACTGGTTCTCGTTGTAGTTACGCGCGACTTCATATCTATTCTCTTTCTATGATCTGAGGTGTGTAGCTACAGTAAGTTGGTTCAGTTCAGTTCAAACTGAAGTTTTGTTTTTGTGTTAGTAGATCTTTCCCCCGGATCACATACAATACTTATAAGCCATCCCGGTGATCCCGGTAGTTTTAGTAGCCAAAATGAAGAACCTGGGAAACGACGTTAGATCCCGGTAGTTTTAGTAGCCAAAATGAAGAACCTGGGAAACGACGTTATTGCAGTTGCGATGAATTATTAAAGAGTTTAAGTTCAAATGTTTAATACTTACCCAATTCAAGTTTTTATATCTGCTTCTCTCTGAAGTGATAGATACTGTTCAAGAGTTCCAGTTCAAAACCATTTTCAAGTGTTTCTTTACGATTGCCTTTGTTCACTCACCTCTTTTCTTCTATATTAGAACAAAGTACACGTGGTTTTACTACTTCCTTCTTGTAGTACAACGTGCACGTGGTGCGGGCGGCGCGTGCGCGCGGATGCCTTAGAGGCACACTACTGGCGGCGCTGCGTGCTGTTAGCACGCTGCCCGCGCTGCCGCGTGGCCTTAGAGGCCAGGGTGCTGCACCAACACTTGCTGGGTGAGTTAAAGCTGCTGGGTGAGTTCAGGGCTCCGATTGCGCTAATTTGTAATGTCTCCAATTCGTTCGCGTTTCATATCCAGTCTACACTCCAGTCACGCTCCATTTTAATTCCAGCTGATGTGCAATTCGGTATCTCGCGGTAAAGTTCACTCGTAAACAAACACGAAACAACGGATTTATGCACTTTTCATTAAAATTTCGAACACCTTAGTTTTAAACTAAGAACACAGCAAATATTGGTGAAGCAAACATATTTGACTTGCGTGTGAGAAAAAGTAGCTTTCTGTCAGCTTTGGCTCAAAGGCTCAGTTGCGCTTCGTTTACGTTACAGCTTCGTTTAAACTAACTGTCAAAACGACACCGCGATACGGATTTGCCAAAACAGCTGATGTTCGTTCATCGTGCAGTTAAAAATATTTAGTACAATCGGGGCGCAAGCTACTGGGTTACGATCTGTTAAGTGAGTTGTGGCTTGAATAAAAAAACCTGATGTTGAAATGTAAAATTATGGGCCAGAAGAGTAACTGAATTTTAAGTATTATTTTTGCGTTTTCAGAGGAATGCACAATGAGTGAGGGTAGTTGGAAGGCGTGTACTAAATGCGGCGCCGCGCTCAGCACTGAAGACAGCGACTATCATATCAACTGCATACGTGAGTATGAGTGGTCCCTTTCTCCGTCTTTGTCTACTTTCCTTTCCTGTAGCATATTCATCCAGAGGGCTTACACCAGTATTCACAAACTATGCTTGCTTATGTGAAGCAGCAATACGAACGCACAGCGCTGAATAGAGCTCTGTGATTGGTTCGTATGTCACCCTGTGCGTCCACGCGCACTGTGAGACCTCATAGTAATGTTTGTGAATACGGGCGTTAGTGTGAGTTTACTTCAAACGCATTCTATGTCGATTGCGTAAAAAGTGACATTAATTTTATGACGGATTGTACAGCGCCCCTAGCGGAAACTTTTAAGAACTAAAATTTTCATATTTTTTTAATTCGCTCGCTAGTGTCGACGTTTGGTGTAAACTCACACTAACTAAGCCTTCAGTTATTTCCTATTAATTTTATAATGTCTTCGAGTACAAACGTTGCTTACATCCGAATTCACAAACGATGCTTGCTTAAGAGCCATTTCACAAAAATATTCCGCGCGAATTTAGGTAAAAACTGTCAACGCAACGTCAAAAGAGTAAAAAGAACGCCGAAATGGACAAAAAAATCTTGAGCCGTGTCCGTATTAAGAATTGATATAAGTTATTAATTTTAAGGTAGAATACGGTATTAAAACTTGATAAATTAATTTAAAATTTTAATAGAGTTTATTTAGTCTTTTAAAGATTTTTATACTTATTTCGATTAATAATGAAACACGAGTAGGTATAATAATTATGTAAAATATATTATATTAAGTACAAAATAAAAACAGTCACATAGTGAAAAAAAATCTGCCCCCTTACAGCTCCATCATCGGACCCTGGATATCATTTACCTAGACGAAGTATTCGTCAAGGCGAATTACACAAGCCCAAACTCCATAGGGTTCTATTGTTTTGTTATGGATTTGCAATGGAGGTGGCCATTGCAACTCCTTCAGATCTATTATCAGACAGAGCTAAGAAAGAAATAAATAAATATTATTATTATTTAACAAATAACTAAAATAATTCATCTTACTATCTTTCTTCTTACTAGTCTTACTAATATTATAAATACGAAAGTTTGTGTGGATGTTTTGAAGTTTGTTACTCTTTCACGCAAAAACTACTGAACAAATTTTGATGAAACTTTACAGTACAGTACAGCAGTACTAGGCAGTCTGTGCTCAACTATCATTCGGGTCGGACGTTCCTATCGCAAGACCGTTGGTTCACTCAGTTCCGATACGACTCTAGTGCTGTGTGTAATTATTCTCGTAAATACACTGAGTTTATTCATTTCTATGAGTGGATTTCATTTTGCCTGAGAACTACGTCATGAACCCTTAACCAGAAGACTCTGTCGCCAGCGACAGCGACGCTCATCCATCCCTAGCGTCGACCAGAATAAAAAAATATTTATGACGATCTGTGGCAAACTAAATTTCACGCTGGTAAAGCCGCGGGCAATACTACATATTTCATACTAGCTTTTTACCCGCGACTTTTTCCGCGAAGAAGTGGAAAATGGTTCTAATAGAATTAAATTATTCTAAAAAAATTTAAATTTTGTTAAATTATTATATTTTTTAATATAAAACCTACAAATTATTACGTTTCAATATTTGAATACTTACAAAATTATGATATCTTTCTACAACAAAATTGAAACACTACACCTACCGCAGATTTCTTTGTAAACAATGTTTTTTGTTTTTCCTTTGGGTGCTAAAACCACCAGGCTATTGTGTGCGCATACTCTGGAGCATGCCACATACAACTAACCGTCGGAGAAGCAAAGATTTCCCTTAAGTCTACTCCCGCTACCACATGGAAATCCGCTAAAACTCGTGAGGGCGCCAACACTTGCTTTTGTATCGAAAATTGGTATGAGCAGCGCACGCGGTTGCCCGTTGCAGGCTCTATGCAACCACGCTATTTTAAACCGTGGCCCCTAAGCATGAGATGGGAAACTGCACTCTCTAGAATTCTCTTGAATTTGATGGTGTTAGGCTAGGGGAATCCTAGGAATGAATACAGACTTTCGAAGCAAGCACAGATCACATAAACTAAAGAGAAATGTGACAAGGGGGCGGAACCGGTGTCGCAACAATATGCCCAAAAACAGAACATATTGCTTGTGAAAGCAATGATGACAGCAGCGACGTTATAATGTAAACAGTTTACATTGCTTGCATACTACTAAAGATTATTCGAACGTTGAATACTGATACCGCAGTGGATAATGAGCACATATTTTGATTTCTTTGACACTGAGTTTCGAACTCAGCGCATTACTTAGCATCTTTCTATATCTCTATAAAAGCAAGTTATCTCCAAAATAACATTCTACACCTTTTTAACCAAATACGAAGCACGTCATCTATCAATAGGGAATATATTTTACAAGTTAATAAATTATGCATAAAATAACACTTTTGTTAAATCATAGAATTTCTAAAAACTAGTACTGAAATCGTACTGGAAACAAAAAAATATTATTAATATGTTATCTAATTTATTTATTAAACGTCCAATTATTATCAAAGATTTTGGACTAAAGTTTTTGAAAATATTTTATAGCCTACATAGGAAACATTTAGTGATAGAATTTCTTTTCGGAGCCTATTGCCTTCAAACAAACAAATAATCAAATCTTTCCTCTTTTATTAGTATAGATTTAACAACAAAACTTCCCTCTCGAAACAAAACGGTTCTTTTTCTTCTTCACGAAACAAAACTGAAAGCGGATAAATAAATAAACAAATCTTTGGACAATTTCACAGCGCCATCTAGTCCCAAAATAAGCAACTAATATGCTTGTGTATAGGGTGCTAGCTTAATGGATATACTACTTACAACCTTTTTTATAATTTATGTATTAAATTAAATTCATACATAGGTATACATAGTTACTCCCAGTCCCGTCAAAGAAATTAAAATTCATCATTTCAATTTCTGCTCGGCCGGGTATCGAACCCGGGACCTTTCGGCATATTAGTCCGTTTCGAACCACCAAACGGCCGACTCAAAACGGACCTCTGGGCATAGTATCAAATGTATTTGGTCGCCGTATAAATCACCGGTTCATGACACGAACGCACGTAAACGTCATGGCGGGAAAAATAACACAGGTCCTGCCTTGACGGGCGCTCGCGCCATACTAATCGATGTCGGCTTCCGCATTGTAATTTATACTGATATTCACATCAATATTTTGACAAAGTAGTAACTAATATTTAAACAATAACTGTAGAAATCAGTTCTCCAATGAATATTCTTTAATTTGGGATACTTTTATTGTGTTATTGCTGTGTATTAAAACCAAAAATCACGATCAAAATGTGACGTAAATCTTAAAAATTTGCCAAATTATTTTTAGATTTTACTCAATAATGGTAATGAAATTCAAGAATCCGTTTGATTATTGGACTACAAGAATATATGTCCGATGATTACTATATATTTTTAAGTTTATTATACGAGCATAAATAATAGATACAGGACTTTGAAAATGAGTCTGGGGCAATTTTTCCGTAAAATGGTTGTGGGAGATGGGGCACTGCGAATTAAGCAAAAGAGTTTTAGTAAATCCGTTACATTATTGGTCAACAACAAGGATTGACCTATCTTTCGCAGTTAATAAATAATCTCTGGGTGTTGCTTAAGATAGTAATTCATGCTTCCGAAATCTTAGAAATTCGCACGAAAATGTAAAATGGCTCTTAAGGCCCAGTTTTTTGATTCGTAGTTAAAATAACCAATGGTCAAATTTGACAGATGTCAAATGACAAGTGGTTAAATATCAGAAAAAAATGTGTTTCGAACAATGGTAAGCTTGACTTTTAGTACATTTTTTAACTATTTGTTTACATTTTGTTAATATTTAACCATTAGGTAGTAGCAAAATTTAACAATTAGTTATTTTAACTAAGAATAAAAAAACTGGGCCTAAGTGAAGTAGCAACGCTATGCGAAGCCGAACGCACAGCGTTGAATAGAGCTCTGTGATTGGTTCCAGAGCGTCACTCCGCCACTCAAGTATTGTCTATGAATAGGTTTTTCGCACTGTGAGACCTCATAGTAAATTGTGAATACGGGTGTTAGTTTGGGAGTTGATGGTGCAGTCAAATGACTAAGGATATTTGTTTATTCCCAGCGCTGGGCCTGGACGAGTGGAAGTGTCCGTACTGCTTGAGCAACGTGTTGGCTCGCGACCTGCCCTGGCAGCGACACCTCATGCAGTGTCCACGGAACCCTCGGCTGGGGCACTCGTAGGCACCCGGGTTCCGTCAAGGAAGTACTAAGGCTGATTCTGCTGGGTATGGGACTATTCCGACTCGTTCCCACCTCTGCAACTCCTGTGTAGCCAGGATCAACAGCTTGACCGCTAATAAAAACCCAACCAGTGAAGGTCAAGTTTGTCCCGGGAGAAAGTTAAACTGTCATTGGACACGCAACGAAATTAATCAGAAGAACATAGGAGTTCGAAGTTAAGGTCTACTGTGGATCACTACTGGTCACCAACCAGTTGACCACTATCCACAGTAGATTTCAATAAGATTCAGGCACCCCAGGGGTTCCGTCAGTTGGGAGTACTAAGGCTGATTCTGCAGTGGGTGGGGCATAACTTGTCTCTGTCTTGCTCTTTCTCTAACTACCCACAAAATATTTAGACAGTGTACAATAATCGAAATGTTGGTAAGGCATGGGTACTATTGGCAAAGCTAAGTATTATGGGATGGGAAATTAATACACAAATAATAATAAGAATGAAAAGTTAATGTAAGAAAGGTAATACTAATGTATTTTGAATAAATGAAGGGCGGTGCGAAAGAATAAAGTAAAATTTGATCCTGGTGCGGTAGAAAATAAGGTTGTAAACGGAGATAAATCTTCGCTTGAAGAGAATGGAGTTGATAAAGAATAGTTTGGAGATATTGTGATCGGAATAGGGTCTGTACAGAGTTAGTAGGTCGCATAAGATGAAGATTGTGTGAATTTTATTTTGCAAGAAAGCCAAGGGCGTAGCTACCACTGTATCTGCCGTATCAATCAGTGCCAGACTTTTTTGAATAGTTAGAGTAGACATCTAGGCATATGCCTGAAGCTCTATGTATAATTTTACAATGATATTTTTAGTTGTGAATGGACCCATGATCTAAATGACCTTTTTTTGGATGGGATGGGGCCTCCTCTGTCTGAGCATAAACGTATTGACCACAGGCAATGGAGGATTTGGCCTACACTCATTCTGGCCAAACAGCAGGGGAGTAGCTACTAAGGGGCTAAGCGGGGCAGTGCCCCAGGGCCCCCAAGTTTAGGGGGGCCCCGAATCCTTGCCAGAAAATCTCAATTGAACAGAACTTTGAAAATGTCTCCCATTTTCAAAATAAATAGAAATTCGAAAGTTATAACTAGGGAATTCCCCTAAATTCTTTCTGTGGGTTGTAGCAGTGCGGCCCATTTTTTTATTTGGCCCTTGGTTACCTAGCTACGCCACTGCCAGACAGGTTTTGAAAGCCTGATATTATTATCCCTTAGTCGCGTCTTACGATTTCTGTAATATTTTTCATACTATCTTCATCATATGGGACAACTCATAGAAAGTAAGGATTAAATTACAAGAATGGTTAGGAAAAAGGAGATGGGAATAGCTAGTGTACAGCTTTAGTACTTCTAAGTATAACATAAGATTTATCGTTTCAGCTGTAGATAGTATCCATATCTTGCTATGGACATACTAATATAATAATGGCTTTTTTCAATGTTATTTCATCATAATTTTCCTGCAATTCCACCATTAGCTTCTCTTTATTTATTCTAAGTTAATTTGAATAGATAGCTAGAATACGTAGAATACCATAAAGAAAATGTATGTCTATAGCAAACATTTAAAATTTTAATCTAATCTTTTAGGCAATTTCAATTTTCTTCATCAAATGATCATCTATTTGGTAGTCATCGCCATTACCACAAAAAATAACCAATATGATGGAATAGTACCCACATAAACATTTGACATTGGGAAAGTATATGACTACTGACACGTGAGTGTCAAACGTAGATCGTACGTTAACGTAATTAACTAGATCTAAAACTTCAGGCTACGACTAAACCAGATGAGTTTCGTAAATTTTTATTTAAAAATTGTTTATGATCTTACATTTTTTGGCGTTGGCTACACTGTCAATTCGAAAGCTTAAAGCTCAATGAAAAGCACGGCTTCTAGTCCATTAACTACCGTCCACTCGACTTGGATTCCGTCTTAGAATGCTCATTTTGATTCTAATATTGCTTCATTTCACCCAAATGAAATTTTTAATATCGTCTACGTTTGGTATAATACCTATTATGTTATTGCTTAGTTTTAAAAATAATATTATCACCGTTTTCAGACTAAAATCTATTTTTTTAATAGCAGTTTTTTTATATTTTTATTCTTAAGTTTAATCAATTTTACTTGCAAGGAAGGGTTGGGTTGAGGAAGGATGACTCAGAATGTAATAATCTCTCATATCGTTTTCTTAAGTTATATCTGTTGATATTGCTTTAAAAGCATAGTGTATTGTCATTTACTGTCCATTTTAAAAGAAATCTCAACTCTTAGCCGTTAGTACTTTGTAAAAGTAGATCGAGTCCTTAATAAGTTGTTTTAATTTATACTAGTTCTCATTATTATTATTCCTGTACAACTATTTGCTTACATAATTTTAGTGACTATAGTTTAGGTGGTTTCGTTTTCTAATTTAGGTATTTCAAATATTAGTCAAATGGATGTAGCGCTAGATGTATTCTAGTCTTATTTATTTACCATACCCAGTTGATTTTAGTGTTATAGATAAGTATTGTAGTTTTAGCCTAGACTAGTACCTAAGTGACTTCATTTACATACATTGATTTACAGTTAGTTTTCTTTTATTTACTAGAACAGTGTGCCATATAAAGTACTGGAAACAATATTTTATAATTATAGATATTCATCATCATCAGCAAAATATGGAATAACGAAAGTTACCTATTTATGCCATGCTATTAAGCAGGTCACATGATACAGCAATATGTAATGTAATATAATATCATGTTGAAAAAAAAAAGAATAAACCAGGAGCTGCACGGAATCAGGTCCCATCTAATTACAGGCACTATCATTGTTTTTCATTAGCTGTTAAGGCTCAAGGTTAAATTATTTCATCATTTACCATTCTAGTTAATGAATAGGTTAGGTGTAGGTTTTAAGTAGCTTAGCTTTGTATTACAAACCACATCACCCACTGTGATATCGGGCCGAGTTGAAAAGAAACTGGAATTAAAGCATGGATCTTCTGTTGTTGGTTTAGATTGTAATTTAGACGTAAGCAGAGTTAAGGCAAACTTTGTATTTATCAATGTTATTGAATTCACAATAAAACTGGATAATAATGGGTATAAGGTACCACAGACAAAGTTTCAGAGGCTGTAATAACGTAATATACCGTTGATAAATACTAAGTTAAATTAATTTTAAGTATGTGTCTTTCACTCTGTCTTTCTCATCTGTCTTTGTCAACTCAAATGATCCTTCCTAACACTTTCCTATCATACTATTTTTCAAGATTTCTACAATTCGTTCAAGTTCCTTCTTTAAAGTTAAATGTTGTTGTAATGTATTTGTATCGATAATACAATCATCCATGTATATGACACATTAATTACTACTAATTAATTGGATTTTAACGAAAATATGCGAATATTTCTATTTTTCCGAGTTTAATAACCCAAAAGAGCATAATTTGAATTGTATTAGGATCGCATTAGTCCTTCCAAATGAAAGTCGTCCAGAATAAAAATATTATCAGCAACTGATAAAAATCATTTTTCGAATCTATTATCAGAACTTTTCAAAAAATACATTGATATTATTTCCTTGAAACTAAAAAATAAACTAAAAATAATACAACTCTGTACTGAACAAAGCATATTTACTAATCATAGCATAGTCGTATCTACTATAAACCATATTTAATTCAAATATACTACAGGGAACCCAAAAGAATCCGATATAATGTATTTATTTGTTCCTATTTTAATATGTAACGCGACGTTTGCGTACTATTTACATTGTAAACAGGTGTATTAGCGCTAATCCATTTGACTGATGAACTTTTGGAATACCTTGTACAAAGAAGACGTAATTAATTTAAACTTTAGAGAACTATGTACATTATTTTACGAAATTAGCACTCACTGGCAAGTTTGCTTGAAAACCGGAAAACTGTAATCTACAGGGTGGCCAAAACAGTGAGGTCTAAAAGAAAAATTTAGATTCCTTACATCAAGGTGTATCTAAATCACCCCCATGTGTATAGTACGATTGTGCTTAGTTTAGGAGATAGAGTTAATTTTGTGATATCTTAAAATTTGATGACCTATAGGCTTTAAACATTTTTATCTTTTTTTTGGGTTGACTTTTTTCAAATTTCTTTTTTTCGACAGATTTGTTATTAATTGCAGATGTTTGAAAAAAATAATCATCTTCCTATCTTTGATTCAAGATACAAAAGTTTTGCTAGAAACATTAAAATTATGCTTTTATCAGAACACTATCAAATTTTCAACTTAAAAGTTTAAGTAAAAAAAAAGAACTTCCATAGGTCCAAAACCATTTTAAAAACTGCGCCGTTTCCTGAACTTTCATAATAATACAAAAATACATGTACTTAATGGGCCACTATTTCCTGTAATCGGTCCACTAAAGTGGTAAGTCGGAAATTCCGTTACATGTTTTTGACTTTCTTAGAGTGAATTAATCCTTCAAGCTCCGCGAATCTAGACACAATAGATAATCAATTGTTATGACATTAATTAATGCCGTCTGGGACTCAATCGGTTAATATTGGGAATCCTCTAAGTTTACTTTACGTAGAACTGATTTAGAGCAGTAACTGGACAGAACATGTTTTTATTCTCAACGAGGAAGCTCTTGTCCTTCATCACACCTGGTGGAAACTGATGATTAGGCTGAAGGTGGAAGGGAACTTCAANTATGTGACGGAATCACCGACTTACCACTTTAGTGGGCCGATTGCAGGAAATAGTGGCCCATTAAGTACATGTTTTTTTGTATTATTATGAATGTTCAGGAAACGGCGCAGTTTTTAAAATGGTTTAAGTTGAAAATTGGATAGTGTTCTGATAAAAGCATAATTTTAATGTTTCTAGCAAAACTTTTGTATCTTGAATCAAAGATAGGAAGATGATTATTTTTTCCAAACATCTGCAAATAATAACAAATCTGTCGAAAAAAAGAAATTTGAAAAAAGTCAACCCAACAAAAAGATAAAAATGTTTAAAGCCTACCAGGTCATCAAATTTTAAAATATAACAAAATTAACTCTATCTCATAAACTAAGCACAATCGTATGATACATATGGGGGTGATTTAGGCACACCTTGAT